CCTCTCCCTCCGCCTCCTCTTTGACCGGCCTTGTGGTCGGCAGAACCCTGAGGTGAGTCTCTGAGGGGGGGGCAAGGAGAGGGGAGGAGCTGGAGCTAGCCACGCCCACGAGAGGAGCCGCGCCCTCTCCATCAAGCCCCGCCCCCTTCGGGGGGCTCCTCCCTTTTCGCGGCTGTCCTTGGCGCCTCCCACTTCAGGCCACGCCTTCCTGCCTTGCCTTCTGAATCAAAGGCGGGGGGGGGGACCTCCCAGGGGTTTCCTTGGGTCCCCAACTTCCATCATCAGCTCTTGCTGCTTCAGTAGTAGGGGATCATGGGTGTTGGAGTCCTGGAGCATCAAGGCAGCCTGCGTTTGCCCATCTCTATGTCTCTGTAAGTCCTGTACTTTCCCCAAGCGCCTGTTTCTCCCCCTCCTTTTCACCTTCCCCAACCTCACTTTAGAGCAGGGGTTCCCCAACCTTGGGGCCTCCAGATGTTCTTGGACTACAACTCCCAGAAGCCTTCACCACCACCACCACCCTCTGCTGGCCAGGATTTCTGGGAGTTGAAGTCCAAGAACATCTGGAGTGCCCAAGGTTGGGGAACCCCTGCTTTAGATTATGCTGCCCTCCCTCCAGATGGGCTGCCCTATAGATCTGCTATAAGAACGGCCATCATCTTCATCTAGCATGCTGGCTGGGATGCCAAGGGTGGTAAGTCCATACAGAGGGAGGGAGTGGGAGGTTGGGAGGTTAGAACAACCTGAGCCAGGTCCTCACATGACCAGTGAGCCAACATTTCCAGTGGTTAAGAGTCTTGGAACAAGACTCATTGGGTGACCTTGGCTACGTGTGGTCCTTTCAAAGAAGACTCTCTTTCTTCTGTTTTAAGTATTCAGTCCTAATCTTCCCTCTGGGGAACTCAACACGGCGTATATGGTTCTCTCTTCTCTCACACAGCCGTGGCTAATTGCGAGGTCTATATGATCAGAGAGCAATTTGCTCAAGGATGCCCACTGAGCTTCATGACTGTGTGAGCATTTGAATCTGGATCAGCCCATCCGCCTCTGCCATTGTTTGTACATTTAACTTGGAGTGTTACTCTTGCTTCCCACCCACCTACTCCCGCTTTCCAAACGTCTTTCTTGTGCTGTGAACGTCTACTTGAAAGAAAGTCCAACAGAGTTCAAGACAATGCCACCATCACATAGCAAAAACTGTACCATCACTTAGGCCAGAGCCCTTGGAAAATCTGCTTTTCGACTGTAGGCTTTAAGTGAGAATGCAAGCAGAAAAAAAGAATTGGGCTTGGGCTCCTGTGCTAACTGTTGCTTGAATCTGAAGGCCAAATTGTCACTTGGTGAATGGAATTATCCCTTGGCCAATGAAATTAGCATGTGAAATTGTCATCACTTTGGCGAGTGGATTAGCTAATGAAATGAAAAGGCCAGAACATGTTCTGAAAACAGGCTCCTTTCCTAGTTCCAGATACACTGTTTTGATGGTGGTGGTTAGTAAGAGGTTTTTAGAACGAATTGTGTTTTGACTTGTTTGCTTTTGATCGTGTGAGTTCTACTCTGCACCTTGAATTGACATAGGCATACCACCTTACTGAGAAATATGACCTTGTCTCTCTGTAGACCAACATTTTTCCATCGTGCTGTTTTCTCATCACCGCTTCATATGAGGACTTATACGTTCTCTCTGGAGTAGAGATACCTGTAGATTGGGGTTGGGAAGGGGGGCAAAAAAATGTTTCTGATTCATAGGCACCAGGAGGAGATTTCCAGAAAGGTTGAATGATCAGGTTGTGTAAAAAGAGAGCAGATCTTTCTGCAGCCAGGTCTCTATGCCATCTGCATTTGTGAGATCCAGTTTGACAGAAAGCCACATTTAATCATCACAGTGTCTTGGACAATTAGCTTTTTCTTTCTTTGTTTTTTGTTTCTCCCCAGATTATGTCGCCAGTGAAATCATTCACCGTGCACAACCTCCACTTCATGCTTTTTTCCCCTGCTGTTTTCTCTATAATATGAAGAAATTAAGGGATGCTGTGATTGATTTAATTCATTTATCCTGGTTTTAAAAAATCATCACCCTTAAATCTGCATTATATCGAGCCATAATGATAGTTGATCTAGATTCAAACTATCTATTCCAGTAGTTCATGGCCTTGGATTCCCAGATGCCCTTGGACTAAAATTCCCAGAAGCCTTCACCACTAACTGTGCTAACCAGTATTTCTGGGAATTGTGGTCCAAGAACATGTGGGTACCCATGGTTGGGAATTATTAGTCTGTTCAATAGTTTCCAAGGCATGAGGCAGAATATAATAACCTCCTGCATGCAAAACACACGTCTTTCTCCTGAGTTCGCACTTCCCTACCCACCCTTTTCAGAACAATCTTTGTTCTCAAGGCATTGCCATCCGAGATCACTTAAATACAATATAGAATAAGTATGAACTTGGAAGTACAGTAAGCTTTGACTATCAGTGGAGAGGGAGCTTGTACATAACTTCTAAGCAGAACTTGAAAACGCTAGCTAAGTTCTGTCATGCTGTACTTCAATGTAGAGTTTGGACTCTTGGCTAGAGCAGCTAACAGAGTGAGCAGAGAAGTGCCTTAATCCTAAAACTTAGAGCAGAGGAGCCAAATAAGCCACATATGGCTCTTGGTAATGAAGAAGAGTCCTTTGATCACAGTATCTGAGAACATGATGACAGTGGAACTACCACAAAAATGAGACAGTTCTGGTTTTTTTCTCCCTTTTTTAGTATCATCAACATACAGGTATTACAATGTGGTGAAGCAGAAAGAAATTGTGATACAATTCTTTTAATGAAACATTATAGAAACGTTGCACTTTCTGAAAAGCTGTTAATGTAAACTTTGAAAACAGAGAGCAAAACCATTAAAGTCAAATGTGCACAACATTTTAGAAGGAAAGAATATTTGAATTCTTGTTTCAGGCCCAGATAAGTTAATTTAGGGTGCAGTGTCCTAATAATCTGAGAGTTACGTTGGAGTATTACTATATTAATCAATGCTCTTTATGTGACTGTCCTCATCCTCATGGGGCAACCTCAATTAAACCAGGTTGATTTGGTGCAGATGATGACACCACTCTTTAAATCACCATAAATAGACTGGGGTCTGTCCAGTTCCACCTGCATTCTGATCTTGTCCCTAGCCACCTTGTCCAGAGTTAATTTGTAAGTGGCATAGCACTACATTATTATATTATTTTTGCAGACAGAAAGACTCTAGTACCTATATGATGAAATTCTAAAGTCAAGTTATTTAAAAATAATAATTTAAAAAATTAAAAGGGAAACAGCATGAAAAGCAGGCATAGTTGCTGATTTCCTCATGGGACAGCATCTGTCACTGTCTCAAACACATCACCAAGGCTTCAGCACAGAATGCCTCACCCTGAAATACAGTGGCACAGCCATCCACACAGCTGAAAATGGGTCAAAAACGAGCGCAGTGTAGAGTGACTTAAAATAAGCAACCTTCCAAAAGGTATTCAAAAAGAAACAAATCCTAGGAGAAAAGTATGCTACAGTATCATTGCGTAGCTGGGAAATCTTGAATCGATTTGCATTGTGCTAAACCCACAGTAATTGGAGAAGCATATCTCAGTGTAGTTGCACCCTCAGACAGTATATGTATTATGTGCTGCCAAACTGATTCCAACTTATGGTGACCTTAGAAGGTTTTCCAAGGTACTGTATGTGAGATACCTAAGGGATGATTTTTGTTCATTGCCACCCCCAAGTTTCCATGTTTAAGTTGTCATTTGAACCCACATTTCTTGAGGCTGAATTTGAAACTCGATTCAATACACCAGTGGTTCCCAAACATGGGTAGCCCATTTGTCCTTGGACTGCATTTCCCAGAAACCTTCATCACCTGCTGTGCTGGCCAGGGTTTCTTGGAGGTGTAGCCCAGGAACACCTCCACAAACACCTGGGCTACCCAAGGTTGGGAACCACTGCAAAGTACTGTGATGGCTGTACAGTTGATATAACTTGCTCTTACATTGTTAGTGTGGTAAGATCCTTGATAGAATAAAATATATAGGGGATCCCTTCAATAGCAAAGTTCAGTAATCTGGCTGATGTTTCGGAGTAACCAATTTAATAAATTGTGATGAGTGTTCTTGCTTTGGTTCCAACTTCCAGTACTTTGGAATGTACACTTGAAGCACAGCATTCTTTGAAATTTCTTTTTAGTGTTCATAAAGAGGCTGGTAGCGATACCTCTTTAAAAAGAATCACACAAAGCAGTCTTATACTGAAGTGCATGGGTTCATTTAATCCAGTCTTGTTTTCCTGTGAGTGGACTGGTTTTTCTAGAGTCTCAGGCAGGACTTTCCGCCCAAACCGTGTTGGCACAAAACAATTATATGGGTTTAAAACCCTGGCAAAGGTCACAGTAAGTCAGAATAGACTTGAGGCAATGTTGTTATTGTTATTGTGGAAGAAAATTATGGAACAAAAAAGAATGTATCTGTGTGATCTTGGTCAGAGTCAGAATTTGTTCAGTCTAAGAATGTGTAGGAAGAGGTTGGTGAACAATTCAGAGTTATTTCAGAAATTAGTTTTGTCGTTGCATGGTTGTTTCCGCTTGGTTCGTGGGATATGCTGAGGCTTTTCTATTTGACAGTCGAGTCCTTCTAAGTATGTCTGCATTCAGATCTTGACCACCGCAGGTTCTTAATTGACTCCTTTAATCAGAGCTGCTTTCCTCCCCCCACCAAGAGGATTGGAGGTGAATGGGCTCTTTGGCATCAAGGTCTTACACAGTGTAGCTGGGATTTGCTACCCAAAGGGGTTGAGAACGTGAAGCAGGCTCCCAAGTCTATACACTGGTACCTTGCTTTACGATTGCCCCACATTATGATGAATCTGCTTTACGATGATCTTTTTGCGATCGCAATTGTGATCACAAAACGATGGTCTAAATGGGGGAATTTCGCTTTGCGATGATCGGTTCCCTGCTTCGGGAACCGATTCTTCGCAAAACGATGTTTTTCTAACAGCTGATCGGCAGTTTCAAAATGGCCACCGGGTAATTAAAATGGCCCCCTGCTGTGTTTAGGGACAGATTCCTCATTATACAGGCAGCAAAAATGGCCACCGTATGGAGGATCTTCACTGAGTTTTTACCCCATTGGAATGCACTGAACGGGTTTCAATGCGTTTCAGTGGGGTTTTTTATTTCGCTTTACGATGTTTTCACTTAATGATGATTTTCCTGGAATGGATTATCATCGTTAAGTGAGGCACCGCTGTATAGAATTTGTCAACCTTCCATGATGTAATGATATCGTATACGATGGTGCGGCTCACGCACCACTTAGGAGACCAGTAGCCCTCTTCCACCTTTCCAGCTAGAACAGCCATCCTCCTTATTTGTGAGCAGCAAAGGCTCATCTTAAAACAGAGAAGGCCAACGTCAGTGAGTTCTGTGGCCAGTTTTCTGCCCATGACCTCCGGTGGCTGCATCGGCTACCAAAAATGCCTAGGTGTTGTTCTAAATCAGTAGTTCCCAACCTTGAGTCTACAGATGTTCTTGGACTGCAACTCCCAGCACCCTTCACCACTAGCTGTGTTGGCTGGGGTTTCTGCAGGCCAAGAACACCTGGGTTACCTGCAGTTGGGAACCACTGTTGGGACCCTGCAAAGAATTTTAAAAATTAACCACTGCAATGGAAATGCAGGGTTCAGGAAGTGTTTTTTTTTTTTTCCATTGGACATCTTTAGGGACGGAACAGGGGAGTGGCATTTGCCCACTTCCTCTTAAAGGATTGATTCTGGATGCTGTTTTTTTATGGATGGAAGGAGGTGTAAAAATGAAAGCATCTTACAATTATGTGTTGTAAAAATAAAAATGCAAGTAAAACAAATGTGAAATCTAGTGTAACAGTTTTTAAATCAGATTTGGTTTTCCTAAAGTACAGCTGGTCATCTGAAAGGGAAGCTTCCGTGGAAAATATGTAACATTAGGATTATACTGAATATTCAGTTACAGACAATCCAACCGTTAGCTCTAGGAGAGCAACTGTGACCTTGAGAGTGGAATACTTGGAACAAATAATCAAGAGGGGGTTAATTGGGCACTTAGAGGTAGATCCGAGCCTCCTGCAGCTGCTACTGCTGCTTTCCCACAGAAGAGTCTCTCCTGAACAAGAGGAGGACTTTTCCCAGAAGCTTGCCTTCTTCTGGGAGAGCGGATGCTGATTTTGGAATGAGCAGAGCCAGTTTCCAGTGATATATACATTTTTAAAAGTGTCTAACCATTTGCTTGCTTAGTTAGGATGGAGAGTGACCAGTATCTGCATTCAAGTGTCTTTTGCATTAATGTAATCATATTTTGGTAGGAGGGGCCCTTTTGGGAAGCAGAGGAATAACGGTAAATACCTTAGATTTCAGGAAGTGTATCCCATTGATAGCTGAAGGTGCAACCAGATAAGGCAGGAAATGTGCAATTGACTCCACTGTAGCTTCGATAAGTATGTAACAGCAGTGAGCGGTGGAGTGGAGTTACATCACTATGGCAATGTGGGACTGGTGTGGTTTAACCCCTCCCTGAACTGTTTTCTCAATACAAGCTTCCCCTCCCATGTTTCCATTAACCCCGGAGATACTCACTATTTACTTAAAAAAAACATTGGAAGAAACAATCCCAGATTTTTTTTTTAATGTCATGTCAAGCTTCCCTGTTTTATACCACTATTCTAGCTAATTAAGTGCTTGACATGAAAACCTGATGGAGGCACAACATTTAATCTTCGGTCATGTCAACCAGAGCTTGGAAAAGTTAATTTTTGGATTACATTTCCTAGAATTCCCCAGGCAGTATCATCGCCTCCTGGCTGGGGATTTGGGGAGTTGTATTCCAGAAAGGCACATAGAACAGTGCTTTATACTGAGCCAGACCCTTAGACCATCTGACCCAGTGTGGTCAAATCTCACCAGCAGTAATACCCCTGGGTTTTAAGCAAGATTCTTTCCTATCCTTAGCTTGGACTCCCTGTGAGTCTCCCATTCAGGGACTAACCAGCTTCCAAATTCAGACAAGACTTGGTACCAGAGGTTTGGTTATAACTTCCCAAGCTTTAGATGCTACCCATGGCACATTGCTTTAGCCCTGGTTAATATTTCAGATGTGCTGTAGAGTCATGTTTTAGTTCTCTGAACCACCTTTTGCTTCCAGAAGTCATGTATCCAGAAGGGAGACCATGATGATAGGGAGCATATCCATGACCCGGGTGCCTTGTGAAAGTCAACAACAGTCTCTTGAACCCAGAAACATAGACAATAAATGTTCTGAACCTGTCAAGATTATATTCCAAGTCAGTTTAGCTACAATATCCTGCATCGGTTAACGTTTCCATCCAGTCTTCAAAGGCATCTCCAAGTACAGTTTCTATTATTTGTGTTTCTCAGTTGTGAAATCACTGTCTGGTGGTAGGGTGGGGGTGGGAGATACAAGGAAAGGCAGTAGACAGCTGGACAACAGAACGAAACAGATGGGTAGGGCAAATGGTTTGAGATTTCCCGAAGCAGCTGATGGCAGATAGCATCTATCCATAGCAGCAACCTCTGTTTACAAAAATGAAAAGTCCCTCCCCCCATTTTCCCCCCAGAGAGAAAGGAGAAATGTAGATGTTTGAACTTAATAAGCAAATTAGAGGTCAGAATGGAAATTCTGTTCAAATTAACACCGGCTTTCACATTCTGTGGGTGTGCAGTACTTCCATCACAGATGATTACCTCTCTCTGTGTGTGTTATATCATTGATGCCATGATTATAATTAATGAATAGCTCTATTATGTCTGTGCAGGTCACATCAAATATGACTTTGTGCATCGTACAAGCCCTAAGGAACAGCAAGATGTCAGACTAACGCTCCCACTCCTTGTCAGGTATGTGTTTGTTCTGGATTTTTCACCCAGCCTGTCCTTGGAGGCACAAAAAGGAACACAAACATGTAAATGCCTGTGCGTCTACAGTTATGTGCTTGGGTCTCAGAGTAAACTTTCTTTTCGACTGTTAAAAAAATAAAAGAGTTGCCAATGTTGCTGCGCCTTGAAACAAGTCACAACTGCTCAAGTTGTCATGGCAGGGTGTCTCCTCCACCTGACAAGCTGTTTGTGTGAAGTGACTTTTAAAAAGGATATAGTTCTTTTTTCATGTTACAGTGGTGCCTCGCTTAACTATTGCCTCGCTTAACAAGGAAATCGTTTGACGATTAGGTTTTTGCGATTGCAAATGCAATCGCAAAACGATGGTTTAAATGGAAAAAATCCGCTTCACGATGATCGGTTCCCTGCCTCGGGAACCGATTTTCGCATTACGACAATCTAAAAACAGCTGATCGTCGGGTTTCAAAATGGCCACCGCGTGTACAAAATGGCCCCCTGCTGTTTTCTAGGACAGATTCCTCACTTTACAGGCACCGAGAATGGCCGCCCCTATGGAGGATCTTCGCTGGACGGTGAGTTTTCAGCCCATTGGAATGCATTGAAGGGTTTTCAGTGCATTTCAATGGGCTTTTTTATTTCGCTCTACAGCGATTTTGCTGGAACGGGTTATCCTCATTAAGCGAGGCACCACTGTACATCAATGTGGTTGCAACAGTAGATTTGCACTTGGCAATTTGGTTCTGTTTTGGAACAGACAATGGACCACAACCCGTCTATGCCATGGCTTTGTTTTCATTGTGAAGAAACTTTTAATGGGTGGTCTTCAAAAATTCTGTGATTCCTAGCATGCTGACTAGATCAGTCTTTTTTTTTCTTCTGTGTTAAATTGTGGCAAGTTGAGCTGTTCACGCTGTGAGCCCTCCAAACTTCGAGCACATCATCATTTTTGTGAGCTATGCTTATGTCTTTGTGGTACAAATTATAAAACTTGCTTATTCGATGAGACACCTTGATCTGTGATGGATCAAAGTGTTCTTGACCTCCCTTTCAGGTTGTTGTAAGAGGTTATAAAAAGATAATGTATATGAAGTGCTATGAACACCTTGAAGAACTATCTTAAGTGCTAAATATATCCAGAGCTTAGGCTTCACTTGGTTACATTATAGTAAGACACAGAAGGATTTTAGAAGACAGAGAAAAACCATTGTGATTCATCTAAAACAGTGGTTCCCAGCCTTGGGTAACCTAGGTGCTCTTGGACTGCAACTCCCAGTAATCCTGGCCATCTCTGATAGTAGTGAAGGCTTCTGGGAGTTGCAGTCCAAGAACACCTGGTTACCCAAGGTTGGGAAACACTGAAAGAACTGTGGTTTGGAAGTAGTGTTTTTGTATAAACTGTTCTGCTTCCAAGGAGTAATGCTTGAATGTTGTTTTTTTCCCCTCTTATGTTTGAGAAAGTTAGCATCTAGCAAGTTACAAGCACTTATGCAATCTCCCCCCCCCCTTCTCTGTCGATCTTGCAACTTGTCTGGTACATTTGGAAGAACTATAATTTTGACATGGAGACCTGTTCATTGAATTAAACTCTGAACTCAGTTCTTCATCTACATCATGCTTCACTGCTTTGAAACAGTAGTTTGCTGTTTCATAACAGCGGTAGAGGTTTAGCAAGGACTGCCTAACATACTGTTTGATTTTACAGTATTTTGGCTAACTTGGTTTGTGTCCATTGTTACTGTATCGTGTGATAACAATAACAGCAACATGGCAGTGATAATGCACAAATCGGTAAATATGTATCCATGTGAAGCTGTGTTACATTTTGATGCTCGTAGAGAAAGGGAGGTACCATTTGTGTGGAAAACAGCAAAAGTATTTGCTCAAATATTGCCAAATCCATGTTGTCCTTTCAGTTTAACTCTCCAAGATGATTCTTAAAAGCTCTGAATCAATTGAGATTTTTTAGACTGAAAGTGCTTCTAGTATTTCATGCCATTCCTGCAGTTCTGCTGCAGTGTGCTAATAATACTTTGATTTTTTAAATACAATAGTTGGAGGATCACGACACCCTCCATCCTGTGACTAGCTATAATTTTGGTTTAATGAGACTATATGTAACTAAATGAAGCTCATTATACTTCCATTCCAGGTACCAAAAGTAGTTCACTGAGCATCTGGTTCCCACCAGCAAAGTTAAAGAAAAACCAAAAAAAACCCAACAACAAAACATTCATGTATTGAGAGAGCAGTTGTGTGGTCCATGAAGACAAAATGAGAAATTCAAGATAGATTAAAATAAGTTAAAAACCAAATTTAATATTTAAAATTTTCAATTATGCTGTGTGGCTTTTTAAAAGTGAGAATTTAAAATTAATTTTTAGAAAAGAAATCCAAATATAATACAAAAGTTCATTTTAAAGTCTACAGGGACATATGATAAAGCTGCATCACTGTCTTATCTGTTAAACGTTGTTATGTGATCCACATGTGTGATGCTTTATTATGAGTATTACTTTCCTGCTACAGAATCATTGGTTAAATTATCAGAGTTTGTGGCCACAGGGTTACTAACCTCAGATCTAAGGAATAAGAAGGGTGGAAGGGAGAAAAGAGAGTAAGTGGAGAAAAGTAGGTTCCCTCCTTTATCCTTTTAACAAGAAACCTGTGCCCATTCTTGTTTCAAAGTCAGTTCCTCACTCCCTTTCTGGCTCCTCTCTTAGAAAACTGGTTGGGGCTTTCTGCTAGAGGTTGGGGGGAAAAACAGAGGAAGCAGCAGCTGCCAAGGGTCTCCTTCTATCCTGCCAACACCATTCTGGCCTTGCTGTTTGCATTCCTCTGTTCATGGGAATGGGGTGGTGTTCACAAAGAGCTAGAACTGTACCAATGCCATCATGGACCTAGGCAAGGATCAGGTCAGAGACCCACCAGACGGGAATAGAGTAGAGCAGCCATAATCCTTGTGCCCCTTTTTTCAGGCATGGAGTGGTTCTGGGACCTGTGCTGATTGCTGATGGTTACTAATAGGTCTAAAAAATAATTAACTTTTCAGGCTCTTGGCAGGGAGATGGGGAAAAGACAGAAGTGCTGTTAGGCTGTTGCAGCAAAAAGAACAATGAGTTTCATGGCACAGTAAAAACCAGAAGATTTTATTTGGCATAAGCCTTGCCTCAATGCATCTGAAGAAGTGGCTGCAATCCATGTAAGCATGTGCCAAATAAAACCTAAAGGTTTCACCAGACTCCTTGTCACTTTTTCAAGCTATACCATATGCTGTCCTGAGCTAGCTAAACCAGCGATTTGACTCTATAAGGTAGCTTCCTGCGTTCTTGGGTTGTATAAAATTATAAAGCAACATATATTATTCAGTTCTTCAAAAAAAAAAAAAACCTCTGGTTTATGAATGTGAGATATTGTGCTTCTGTACCTATGATTCAAAAAGCCAGGAAACAGCCCAGTATTGCTGCACAATATCACACCCATCTTGCCAACAGGAAAAAGGATGCAAAGGTTTACATAGCAAAAGTAATTTTGACAACACCCGTGGCAGCAGTCAAGATGGTCTACAAGATACCCTCTTGGGTTCACTACCATTCACAAAGTGATAGCAAACAAGAGAAAATCCCAGAAGCTGACTCCTTTTTTCATCAGATAACCACTTCTCACCCAAACACAAAGCAGGTATCAGAGCTATTTTTCAACGTGTGGTGGGTATAATGCTTTCTGAGCAAACGCAGGAATTTTAAAATAGGGAAACTTTAATTCTCCAGTGTTTCCCATGGGAGACTTAAGCACATGACTAGAATTAGCTTAATTTAGGCCAATTTATGCTGTATACTAATATATAAATCCCACAGAAACAGTGTCTCATGACCAGAACAGTCTGCTCTCATAAGATGGGAGGAAGACAACTTTTCCCCACCTGCTATCAGTTTTGAAATCCCAGAATATATGAGCAGCAGAGTGAACATCTGCTCCCAAGATTAAATTGCTAGCTGAAAGCGCTGAGCCACAACCCCTTGCAGAGATCTTTCTGTGGTGCAGCGCTAAGTAGTTGCTGTGTCCTTTTTGCTGAGTCATTGTGTAAATTGAGACTTTTTTTGCTGTGTGCGCTTGGAACAACCGTCTCTGCTTGCCAGCAGCATATGGAATCAATTGCTTTCTCTCCTGTTCCTCCTCCGCCTTGCACAGAAGCCTATTTTGAATTTGTCCTCTGACTAGAATGATCTGTATAGTGCTTTTGGATGTTCTACAGACTTGACATCCTTGTTTTTTTCTGCAATAGGATTGGTGTTGTGGCCTTCAAAAAGAAAAAAGAAAAGTAAAAAACTCCTATAAAGAGTGAAAAAAAAATCAAATTGATTTAAATCGCAACTTAAATCCCAATTTAGATTTTTAAAAATGATTTTTTTAAAAATTTAAATCTTGATTTAAATCAAATCCACCCTGCTCCTATACTGTTAATAACGGTATTAAAGAAGGATCGTGAGACGGTTTTGCTGGCATGATGAGTGACTGCTAGATCACGGAGGTAATAGCAGTGAGGAACTTAACTGACAGTGTCTTAGATTGTAATTCAATCATTTCTCCCACTATATTGTACTGTGTCTAATGTATTCTCATAATATGTTACTAGAATTCTCTAAATTACTTAAACTTTTGATTATCTGGTCCCTTGTATTTTAAAAATGTGATGCAAATGAATTCATGATTACTGGAGTACATCTCACTGAATTCAGTGGACCTTGCTTCAAAGTAAACACAAGAAGGATTGACTGCTTATGGCTGTTAGTGGTAGTATTTGTCCCATCAACCTAAATGTGCCATTTGTTCTGTGACATTTAATATTGATCAGACTTATAAATAACTTAAAAATCTTGAATTTAATAAACCCATGCCAAATAGAAATTAACCTTGTTGAAGAATGAAAATTCTGTCTGATAGAGGCCTCGTTTCCTTGTCCTGCATGAACACTTTAACAAAGTCAGCGTAGGTTTGCGTATGAAACCCATATGTCAGTTGTAGCCTTTTATTTACCAAATATCCACACCTTGTGATGTTTTCTTGCCTATTTGGGAAAGAATAATCACATCTCATATAACCCTTGAAAATGTAATTGAGAAGGGAACTACTATGTTTTCACTGCTCTTCTCTCTCAGTACACGGTAGAATGGATGCAATATTTGTCCAGCCTTTGTTATGTTGTATAGCCCATGTGGACAATGGTTGGGACAGTGTCACTGAAGCTACCAACATGAATTTGACCAAACTCCGGGAGGCAGTGGAAGACAGGAGTGCCTGGCGTGCTCTGGCCCATGGGGTCACGAAGAGCCGGACATGACTAAACGACTAAACAACAACAACAACGATAGTCCATTTGCATCTAGCAGCACAATTGTACATATGTTTGCTCAGAAACAAACCATATTTGGAACTTACTTCATTGTAAATGTGCATATATGACTGGAACTTACTTCATTGTAAATGTGCATATGATTGCAACCTAAGATGATTTCACAGTTGTTAATGGCTGGGAAAGTGAAAGATCTGTATGTTGTCATGTTGGTGTAGTAAAAGTTGAGTGGAGGTAGAGGGCAACTGGGAAGGAAGAGTGCACAGAGAATGGTGTATTGTGAGGTGAAGAAGTGGGGGAAAGGTAGCTGACTATCCAGAAAGACTAGCGCATAAGGAAAAAGCAAAGTGGAATAACAAATATGATATAGGTACATGATAATGCAGAGAGAAAACAGAAAAAAGAAAAAATGTCAACGGGTATTTTTAAAGCATACTGAAATGTCTGGGTAGATTTAAAGCATAATAAAATGGAGATATTGATGTAGCTGAGTCCCAGAGGAGAACCAATATGGTCCTTTTGTGGACTGGTGAGAGTTAAAGGTGGTGAATGTCATGGAACGTAAATTAAAATACATATATGTACATGCATGCAATGAGCAATGTTGGCAGATGTTTTCTATGATCTGTAGTCATGTCGAGCTCCTCTGTAGAGTCAGTAAAAATAAACAAGGTCCTTGAAGAAATCTGAGTTATGGCCCCTTGGGCTAATATCATATCTATCCATGCAGCCATAATACGTTTGCATGTGAGAAAGAAATTGGAGAGGAAAAATGTGGCCAGCTGGGGTGAATAACGTACGAAAGGAACCAGAATGTCTTGCTAACATCCTGTTCCTTGAAAAGAGTCATTATGGGACTTTAACCTCTGCCTTCCATATAGGTTATCCCCATGATAATGGAAGCTGACATCTGCTGTCACAGCTCCGCTCCTTCACTCTTTCCCTGCAGGGCCAGTCCAGAAAATCATGCAGTCATCTGGGCACAGGTTCCGGGATGTCGAGCATCACCCGCTGCTTGCTGAAAATGACAGCTACGATTCATCATCCTCTGAGTCGGACATGGCTGACAGAGTCTGGTTCATCCGAGACAGCTGTGGGATGGTCTGTGCTGTGATGACCTGGCTCCTCGTCATCTATGCGGATTTCGTAGTGACGTTCGTCATGCTGCTGCCTTCCAAAGATTTTTGGTACTCGCTCATCAATGGGGTTCTTTTCAACTGCTTGGCAATCCTTGCCTTGTCCTCTCACCTGAGAACGATGCTGACTGACCCCGTGAGTAGCCGCGTTCCCTGCCATTGGGGTTCCCATTTCACATGCATAAAAGTGTCACCGAAGGATTTCTAGGTAGCGTCTTTTGGCGCTTCTCTATAAGGATGTCATGAATGCTTATGAGTTTACTTGTTTTAGACATCAAAGGATGTCTCAATATACTTAGACCCCTGTCCAAAAAAACAAAAGTGTGATTTTTCACACTTGCATGAGAGCAGAAGGACTAGCAGGATGGGTGAATAAATTGGTTAGTTGGGTGATTTGTGGCAGCCTTGGCAAAAATGCCTCTTTGTTAAAATATTGTGCAGCGAAGTGTTTCATATTTGTCCTGGTGATCTCTAGTTTGCAGCTGCACAAACTGGAGATCCCCCCATTGGAAATAATTGGGATTTTTTTCCTTGCACAAAGAGTTAATGAAATCCCTTTTGCACGACCAGTGGAGGAAGAGAAACCGTGAACAGAACAGATCATGCCACACAGGCTGAAAAAGCAACAGGATACTAGCATTAGCGTGTCTGTTTTTGTATGCATGAAAACTTTCCATTTTTTAAAAAAGTATTTTGTGTAAAGACTTTTATGTAATAAAACATTACAGTGTTGCTGTTTTTTACAAAAAGGTGCTGAAATGCAAAAGAAAAAGAAAAAGAAATCACAGAAAGGTTCTTTATCTTACCCAGCAGAGAGAGAGAGAGAAAATCTGAAATATTTCATTCTCACTTGTGAGAACAAAATAAATGTACACTTTCATCTCTGTTTTGTAGCATCACGGATAAGTTTGCAACAGCTAGATAGCTCAGTGGCTTAGGTCTTTGGCTGCAGAGCCAGAGGCTGGGAGTTCGATTCCCCACAGGGGCTGGACTCAGAGATCCATAGAGTCCATTCCAGCTCTGCCGTTCAAAGATTGTTGTTGTTGTTGTCATTGTCATCATCATCATCTCATTCAAATAGCCAATGCTTTACAATGTGTAATTAAGCCCACCTTTCGCTTGAAGCGTTTACTCTTCAGCCCTCTGTACGAAAACAAAATGTCTATCTCTGGCTTCATTCTTATACAGTCTTCTTCTTGCATCTTCTCTTCTGCCAGAACAGAAATAGCAGATTCGTCATGTAACGCTCTTGAGAGTAAGATGCTGTGCCCATCACTGGGGCTTTGCAAATGAATCCTGAAGTGCCCAGCGGCTGAACCTTGTCTTTCTTTCCTTCTCTCATGCCTTAGGGGGCTGTTCCAAAAGGAAATGCAACAAAAGAATACATGGAGAGTTTGCAGCTGAAACCAGGTGAGGTGATCTACAAATGTCCAAAGTGCTGCAGCATTAAACCAGAACGTGCCCACCATTGCAGGTATGTGTGTTGCTGCCTTTGTATTGTTCTCCACCTAGACTCCAAGGGGCCAAACCGCACCATGCAGGCAGATGGAGAATAGTGTGGTAATTTACAGGAGAGATACAAATACGATTCTCATGCTCACAACCTTGTGCGGTTCGTGTATTTTAAAGAAAGAGTGCTGCTTTGATATTCGTGAACAAGAAAAGCAATACAGTGGTGCCTCGCTTGACGATATTAATCCGTTCCAGCGAAATTGCTGTAGGGCAAAATTGTTGTCAAGCAAAATTTAAAAGCCAATTGAAATGCATTGAAAACTTCAATGCGTTCCAGTGGGCAAAATACCTGCTCGTCCAGTGAAGATCCTCCATAGGGCGGCCATTTTCTGCTCCCTGTATAGCGAAAAATCCGTCCTAAAAACAGCAGGGACCCATTTTGCACAGTAGTGGCCATTTTGGAAACCCGACAATCAGCTGTTTTAATCGTCGTAAAGCAAAAAATTGGTTCCCGAAGCAGGGAACCGATCATCGTAAAGCGTTTTTCCCATTAGAACATTGCAAAAATATAATCGTCAAGCAGATTTGTCGTTTAACAAGGTAATCATTAAGCGAGGCACCACTGTACAATAGTCGCTTATACTCATGTCAGTGTGTAGGAAACAAATATAGTCAGGTCCCAAGATGTCATCTGGACGGTTAAGTTAGTTTGAGGACCTTGGAGCCCCTCGTGTTCTAAATAACAAAAGAACAAGCCAAAGGGTTGAACCTACCTTCCGATGGTGTATCACCTTTGCCAAAGTCATGAGCTCCTAGGAGAAGATGGAATCTTTTCTGTCACACGGGGCAAAAGGTCCACAGCATACAGCACCACTTCTGCTGTTTCTTCTTTTTTTGCTCCACCAGTATTTGCAAGCGATGTATTCGGAAGATGGACCATCACTGCCCATGGGTTAATAACTGTGTAGGAGAAAGGAACCAGAGGTTTTTTGTGCTTTTTACTGTGAGTAGGAAAGATTTCTCTATTACTTGGTTTTAAATGACTCTAGTTAAACAAGTGTTGGGATTTTCGTCTGTCAGTTGGGAACATGCGGAATGCATTGCTTCAGAGGGATGGGTAACACAATCCATAGTGTAGGCTTTCAGTGGTGTTAGGGCGAGAATCAATATAAATCTCATGCTCTTTCAGTACTTAGAATGCATTGCTTCAGAGGGATGGGTAACAATCCATAGTGTAGGTTTTCAGTGGTGTTAGGGCGAGAATCAGTATAAATCTCATGCTCTTTCAGTACTTGCGCAAGGGCAGGCAGAGGGAAGTGAACCTTTTGATATTTGGTACTTGTGGAGAGGCAAAATTCAGGACTCTGCTGTTTTTGTCATTTGTTGCTTGTGATCTTTCTCACTCCATTTCATGTGCTGTTGTTGGAAATGTGCTCTTGGATCAGGTAAAGCATGGATCTAGCCTAGCAAAGCTGTTCTTACAAACCTCAGAGGAATTTTTCAAAGTATTTTGTGATGTGTCATGGTTTTCTCCTCTGAAAGATGTTTTTTGTTCTTTTTTAAAAAAATACCACATAGGTTATGTGAGTGCATGGACACACTGTATGTGCGGGTGTGAACGGATATAGTCCTGGCATGAAATATATAAGCACTGAGCAGAAACATTCAATATTGCGTCTGAGTCATGGGCTCATTGCCTTGGAGAACTGACTCCTAAATCTTTCTCTCACTTCACAGATGTACATAGCTCTGATTTCAGCTCATTCCCTCATCCTGTGTGGTTTTCAGTTCTTCTCCTGTGTCAGAGGACAGTGGATTGGTAAGCAGCTGTTTGAGTAGCCTTAGTAATACGGCATGTAATTTATGCATTTATTTTTAATGCTATCTCTGTCGCTTTTATGTTGGTATAAACAGGCACCATAGAACCAAACTATAAAAGAAACGACCACATAAAAATGAAACAATGTGCTTATTTAGGAGGGAAAAATCAATTTCAAAAGCAAGCAGGAGCAACAAGCAAGCAGTGAAATAAAACCAAGGGCTATTGAAAGAGTGAAAACAGCAGAATATGGAAGCCTTGTTAAGTAAAGGAGGGCATTCATTCGCCTTCAGTTAAGATATCAGTTAAGAAGATGTATTCTGGACCTTTTTGGGGAGGGGATTACAAAGGAACAACAACTGAAAAGACTCTCCCATCTCAATAACTATCTCTTCCCAGTTACTCTGGACAGGCTCACCATCAATCAGAATTGACTTGACAGCAGATGATTATTATTAAGGTCAGGAGAATTTGTATGAAGGAAGATGGTCCTCTTAGTCAGAAACTGTTGTTGGTGTGAATGATAAGGTCTGCCATGTCACTTTAAATTCTAGCACATTGAATCTTGCAACAAGCCATCTATCTAGACTTCTGCATGTTGGCTCCTCACAGGCAAACAGTTTTTCTACTAATTTGTGTGCCTTGGTCATTCCGCCTGGGCTTTGAATGTCAATCATCAAGCGCCATTTGGTCCTATATGTTTTGCTTTGCTGATTACATTGGGACTGTCACTTAATTGTGCACTTCTGACATGGTTCAAATTCAATATTCTCATCTCCCTCCTCTCTCTTCCAGAATGCAGCGACTTTTCTCCCCCTGTAACCGTAATCTTGCTGATCTTCTTGTGCCTTGAAGGTTTTCTGTTCCTTACTTTCACTGCAGTAATGTTTGGCACCCAGATCCACTCAATATGCAATGATGAAACGGTAAGAGTTGTGCATGGTGATATTGGCCCTGAGAACTGTGGTTCGTGTTGCGTCACGGAATACATTTATACGCATCCACATACACTTGTGTGGGTCTCTGTGTCTTTTTCTGTATACATGCAGCCACCCATAGCTTGGCTGCTCAGGACTCAGCATTTTCGGGGTTCAGACACGCTACTTCATTACCTTAAGGTGTCCTACCCTGATCCTTCTGTTGATGTAAACCTGATGTCTGGGTTTTTATCCTGGTAGCACATGTAGAGGGCAGGGGTCAGTAAAGCCCTCTGGAAACCCACTACTGGATAACTCAGTGGTTTAGGCATCTCCCTGCAGAGCCAGAGGCTGGGAGTTCAATCCCCCACTCTGCCTCCTTGACAGGGGCTGGACTGAATGATCCATAGGGTCCCTTCCACCTCTGCAGTTCCAAGATTATTATTATTAACAACAACTGAGTGTCCTCAACAGCAGCAGCTTCCTTCCTTAGAAAGATGCTGAGAGGCTGATTGATAGCAGGGGTGATTGGCTGATGTGGACAAGGTGATCAGCAGTGGAAGGCAGACTCAGTACTGGCAAAAAAAATGGTAGAGATTGCAGCTAGGACAATAGAAAGGAGGGGGCCATGACAAGTACCATCACATCCTTTGGGGGGCACTTGGTCTATTAGCCATGTGCCCCTGCGTGCTAAGGTTTGTTTTTATGCTATAGTCCATTGAACTCTATCTGAATATTGTAAGTCACTGTGCTTTTTAATCTGTGCGGGGATTTTTAAAAATCACATTATGAATTGCCTTAGGTCCTCTGTGGGGAGAAAAGGACAATAATAAATAAATAGGGTTTTTTTGTTTTTTGTTTTTCTAAATTTATATCTAAATAAACGTATTTACAGGAGATCGAAAGGCTGAAGAGTGAGAAACCCACGTGGGAGAGGAGGCTACGCTGGGAAGGAATGAAATCGGTCTTTGGGGGCCAGCCTTCCCTGCTGTGGATAAATCCTTTTGCTGGATTTCGAATCAGACGGCTTATGCTAAGAGCCAAGAAAGGAGGTCCTGAGTTTTCTGTTTGAGCCTGCCTAATCATGCTGGAACTCACAAAAGAAGTAGTATATTATATTTATTGGGTGCCAGGGGGAGAAGCGCTGCCCGCATGTAACCTGTGACCAACAGAGATTGACACGTGAAACATTTTGCTTGTAGCAAGCAGAGTTTTATACATTTATAGTAACAGGCATCTCATTAACTCTCAGAAGCATAAAGCGGATACTATCACACATGGCTTTTGAGCAAGATAACAAAGAAAGAGAAAAAACCAAGAGATGTGGATGGTCACACTAAAGAAGCCAAAATATCATAATTACTACTGTAATTTATTACTTTAGAGGACTAATTATGCATTTATTTTTTTCTCGAATCCTGTTTATTGAATATGTGTGCTCTTTTATTTCTATTTTTTTTTGTAAGAGTTGATCTCTGCTTTTTTATATATGTAAGATTGTTGAGGCACAGATGTCAATCATGATACAGAAGTACAAAGGCTGGAAATGGCCGGCCAAAGCCAATCCTCTTTTGATCCGATAGATTTTAGTCAGTGCTCATGCAATGGTTCAATTTGTTTACAGAATCCCCTGAACTATATTTCTGCATCCGAATATCTCTGTAGGCTTATGATTAATGGATAGATAACCAAAAAGCATACAAGGAGACTGATAATTGATAAAAACAATTCCTTAGCCTTGTGAAAGTACAGTATTTCTTTTTTTAAGGTTACATTTTAGAATGCTAACTGTGCAACAGATTCCAAGCCTATAGTCTCGGCTAGATTTTTGCTTCAGTTTTGCTAATAATAACTATCTATATGGGAACTCATACTTTGCCACTTAAGTGTGTCTTTGGTCCTTTTGTAAAGTAAACAAGGGACCAAAGACAGGTGTTTCCTGTGGAATGAGTGTGTTGCAGATGGGAAGGCTGTAAATCCAGCAAATAGTCTCCGGTGCTTCTTGCATTTCATGGCACAAGCCAACAAAGACACTCTTACTCCACGGTAACCTCCACGAACTTGCTGTTGCTGTTCTAAACAAGATGTGTTGAAAAGATTTTAGTCAGTGACCTGAAAAGATCTTAAAACACTTTCTTTTGGGAGAAAGAATGGCTTGTGCTGAGATTATAAACACACTCTTTAGAAATTAGCCTCGCAGATTCCGGAGGCTAGTTACTGTGGCGCTTCACAGATGCTTCCTTGTGCATGCAAAGTGCATACACACGGATAAAATATACTGGGTTCCTTTTGGCAGCAGAGGTACTGCAGGTTGCACAAAGCAATTCTGACATGGCACTGTCTCCCCAGTTGAAGCCCTCCGCACAGCTCTCGTAGAGAGAGGATTGTTCTGTGCACCCTACTGTCCCACATAAGCGTGGGCCCCTCCTGATGATATTGGAATGGATTTAGCATTCTGAAACCAATTTTTCACAGGATCTCCTTTCAGCCATGCCATATTAACTGTTCTATTGAGCTACATTGGTTTGGCATTATCAGATATGGAGTTGGAGATTTCTTCAGAAACATGGAGCAGAGTACTCGGCTGGTAAAGATATGGATAAGGAGGATTATAAAACAGTTGGCAACAGTCAGAAAAGGAAAAGTGATTTGTTCTCGTCTTAAGAACGTAAGCAACTTCCATGGCAGAAAAATGAATTCCATAAAACCTTGTTTTACTGCCTGTACAGATAGTGAAACCTCCAGGTATGTGAGAGATTTAAGGATATTTAAGTGAACAATATGCTCAGTAGCGAGACCATCTTAAACTGGCTCTCTTGTCCTTCTCACCTTACCTGCTTTTAACATCATTCAAGGGGAGATTCAGTGCAAACCTTGAGCACGTATATACTCAAAACGAAAAACACTCCTGTTTTGAATCTTGCCTTAAACATTCCGGGGCTCTTGCTCTTTACACCATAGTACATGCGTGCTCAAGAATCATCCATTCCGTGATTGGAATCCCAAATAAAACCTCATTGGTATCCATTGTATGTCTATGGGGAATGCATTCTGGGCTCGGCTCAAATTTTGGGAGTTCTACCCCAACGCTCTCTTCTGCCCAAGAGATACACTGCTGTTTGGCTGATTTCTTCCACAACAGGAACAACAGCAGGACAAAAATACCAAGCTCTCCACCACGTGTCCATGTTTCTCTGTTTCTTTGGATGCCTGCCTTTGGGATTCCAGCCTGCAAGTTTACCACTACATGTCAATGTAAATTTAAATTCCTTATGACTCTTATATTTGGATGTGCGGATCAAGACACCTTTCAGAAACAAAAGTCTATGCAGATAATGCCTTCCTTGGTGGATATTTGCAGTTCGTTCTTAGCCCTGGAACAAAATTCTGCAGTTCGTTCTTATGCATATATTCACAGTTCCTTTGAGCCTGGATACGTATTATTGGAGGAACTGCTAAACAGGAACTAAAAACCTCAAAAGCGGATGAATAAAGCAAAGTTTAAAATGCAGCAAGCTCAAGGAGATTCTTTGCCGTTTCTGGTTTGCGCCTTCCCCTTATTTGGAAATCAAACTGTATCTGCTGCCTTTATCACTGAATCTTCGTACATAATGCTCTCCAAGGAACTGTACTGCTGGAACTCCATGAATCCCTTTAAAAGCAGCTAAACCTGTGTGTGACTTAGCAAGTGCGTGTATGTGTGTGTGTGTGTGGTGCGTATGAAAACGGAATTTCCTGGCTTTTCAAATCCTTGTTCTGTTGTAATTTTTTAAATGTAAAATAAAGTAATTAATTGAAGTCCTGTTGGGTGTTTTAACTTCATAGTTAGGTAGGGGATCAGAGATGTGCAGTACCTCAACAAGCAAGCAAATGAAAGTTCTCAAATCCAGCTTCCTCCAACCTAGTGGCCTCCAGATCTTTGGAATTTCAAGTTCCAGAAAACCCAGGTGATGAGGATTGGCAGGAGTCATCATCCAAAACATTTGGTTGGCATCAAAAGTGGAGAAGGCTTGAACCTACCGCATGGAGATGCATGAACTAAGAACGCATCTGTCTCTTTGCCATTGCGTACAGTCCGTCTGTGGTATCTGCAGGGGGATGTTTCCAAACTGCCCCTGCTGCCCCCCACCACCACCAATAGATGCCCAATGGATGCCAGAAAACACAGAGGTATAGAACATTACACACTTCATGGCCTCTAGTGGCCAGTTCTCTACACTCTGGAAATATGTATAAATATGTATTTCTGTTTTGTTTTTTTTTATTTAGCCATTTTCAGGTCATTTGGTAAATGAATCGGGGGATGCTGAGTCCACAGACGTGGGGGTGGGTGTCCTATATTTGTTTTGTTTTTTGCAATATTAAAATACCCACCTGATGTTTCCTTTTACAAGTATTTCTTCCAACAGAGGAAAGTTGAATTTCAATCTTGGCTAAGCTTTGTCCAGCTATCTTGTTTCATGCAGTTTCTCAGGTTCACTTTTATCACTTCCTCTCCTGTTTCTTTTGTAGTTGCTGCCCAGCCCCAGCGCCCAAAAAAACAAAATCTGGAAAAGGAGCAATTAGCAAGATCTATGTTCACTGCACCTTCTCTTCCACTACTGACCCTGGTATTCTGTCCCATTATAAGACTTAGTCTCCTACTATTAGTGACAGCAGTGACTCCCTATCCCAAGCAGTGAATTTTTAAAGGCTTGTAAGTCTACGGTCTATTTAGATGTGTTCGCTGCTGGTCTTATAATTAAATGTATGATTGACACTGGTGAACGTATTTGTGAGCAGACAAATTTATGAGCAGATCAGATAGTGGAGAAAGTAACACTGGCAAAATCCTGCCTCAAAAGGCTGTAAATGGTTGCCCTATAGTGACAGAAAGCCAAATACATCCCTTTGCTACTTCCAGCTTATTGAACCAATGGGTTTACTTCCATTGGAACTAATAGGTGTAGAGTGGTGCCTCGCTAGATGATGATAATCCGTTCCACTGAAATCGCTATTTAGCGAAATCATTGTCTAGCGAAAAGCATTTCCCCCATTGGAATGCATTGAAACCTGTTTAATGTGTTCCAATGGGGAAGAATCATCGTGGTCTAGCAAAGATCAGCCATAGGAAAGCCACTTTGCGAACCGCCGATCAGCTGTTTAAATAGCTGTCTTGCAAAGCTTAGATCTCGAAAACACCCGTTTTGTGAGTGCGGAGAGAGCTGTCAAAATCATTGTCTAGCGAAAATCGGTTTGCGAAGCAGGGAGCAAACATTGTCCAGCGAAATCCCCCCAATCACTGTTTTGCAAATTGCTATAGCGATTCAATGTCTAGTGAAAAAACTGTCATATGGGGTAACTCTAGCGAGGAGCCACTGTATTTAGACCAGTCATTCTAAACTAATACACCGCATGATCTGAGAGGCACACGTGATAGCAGTACAAAGACACCCTAAGGGTACAAAAAGTAGTAGGAATGCTGAAGTACTAATCATACATGTTTACCCCATTATGTATTGGTTTATCACTTTATTTATCTTAAGCACATATACCTATTTTCACATACTGACAGCTTTTAAAAATGATAAAAACAAGTTGACAGGTTCCGATAGTATGCTGTCCAAATAAAAAGGGGGGTGGGGAAATAGAAGAGAAACCCCATAAATCACAAGAAATAACATTGGGTGCACATCAGTCAAAATGGCTCTTTTATCTGTGTGGAACCAATCCCCTTGTTTTGGATTCTCGCCAAACCGGCCTTGCCTTCTGCTTCAATAACGACACAACAGATGGGAGTGTAACAGAAAATAAACCACATGCTGCCAAGTTTTGATGTACAGCATGCTCCCTAGCAATTGCAGAAGAGCTAGAAATGATACCTCTTGTCTATTATGCTAATAATGTCAGGGGATCTCTTTCTGTGGATGCTACTTGAGGGTTTTAGAGCCAATTGGGACTTTGGCAGCAGGACTCAATGATTCATTCACTGGGTTTATGGAATCTCCCAGGGGCTGCTTGGAACTGAAGGGCAGCAGAGAAACCTAGGATGCAAATCAGCTCACACAGGAAGCAATGTTATGTATGTGTTTGGGTCTGCCTACTGTTTGGGTCCTAATCTGCACATATACGGGCATTGTTGGGAACACACAAAGCATAACAAAGAAGATGGAACCACAGCACAGAGAACAGTCTCTGTGTATGCATTCTACTTGATCCCCATTGACGCAGAAGTAGGAAGAGGAAACGGACAATGGTGGTGGGTAAGTTCTCAAATGTTTGCTGAACGATTCCGTTTTGACAGTTGAAAGCCCTTGGCGATGGGAGAACCAGGCTGTTTGGACTTAAAGGCTGGGAATGTTTTATGGTTGATTGTCTTGAGCTTGGCTTTTTTTCTTCTTTAAAGAATCTCCTGTTTAGGTATAATTGCTTGAGGCAAAAGTGGTGTAGGCACTTCAGACCCAGGGGCTGGACCCATCTTGTAGTCTTCACTGCCAGTACTGGTGGAAGGAGAAGGAAGGGATGTTTCAGGAGACGCTGCAGAGAAGAAAAGAGCAGAAGAGTACAATCAACCCTGCTTGATGGGATGTCATTTATATATGATCCACACCAGGGGGATTTCAAAGTGTGCAACACCCCTCAAGGATGATGTTGTGCCTTCCAGGCCTCATGGAATGCCCCCCCATGTGATCTGAGGAGCCCATCCATATTCCACACTTTTGACAATGGTTTTGGATAGCTCTTGGGGTAGGTATCTAGCTGCCAAGCCAGAGGCTATGAGTTCAATTCCCCACCGTACCTCCTGGGAGAAAAGCCAGCCTGTGTAGCCTTGGGCAAGTTGCACAGTCCCAAGCCACCCCTGGAACAAGGAATGCTAAGCCACTTTTGAGTAACCACCCTGAAAATCCTGGAAAGGGTCACCCTAAGTCAGAAGTGACTTGATGGTATACAGTTATAAGTATTTCTTACTGGTTACTTCCAAGCTGTGCCCTCAATGGCATTCTCAGTATGGTGTGATAAAAGGCTAGCTATGTTTTTCAGGAAATAGATCAAAAGCAGATTTAAAAACCCTGATGTTTACTCCTCTTCACAGTAGTTTGATGATGAAATGGGTGGGGAAAAACATAATTTGGCTTGCAAAAATACCCCATCTTTTGACTACATGGATTGTAGAGCTCCCGACACTGGAAATTCACAGAGCTATGATCCATTTGCTGGAGGAGACTCTTAAGAGTTCCCTGGACTGCAAGGAGAACAAACCTATCCATTCTGAAGGAAATCAACCCTGAGTGCTCACTGGAAGGACAGATCCTGAAGCTGAGGCTCCAATACTTTGGCCATCTCATGACAAGGGAAGACTCCCTGGAAAAGACCCTGATGTTGGGAAAGTGTGAAGGCAAGAGGAGAAGGGGACGACAGAGGACGAGATGGTGGGGCAGTGTCACCAAAGCAACCAGCATGAATCTGACCCAACTCTGGGAGGCAGTGGAAGACAGGAGGGCCTGGCGTGCTCTGGTCCATGGGGTCACAAAGAGTCAGACACGACTAAACAACTAAACAACTGCATGATCCATTCGATGTTGGGAAAGTGTGAAGGCAAGAGGAGAAGGGGACGACAGAGGACGAGATGGTGGGGCAGTGTCACCAAAGCAACCAGCATGAATCTGACCCAACTCTGGGAGGCAGTGGAAGACAGGAGGGCCTGGCGTGCTCTGGTCCATGGGGTCACAAAGAGTCAGACACGACTAAACAACTAAACAACTGCATGATCCATTCGGCTAAAACACACGACTAAACGACTAAACAACAACTACATGATCCATTTGGCTAAAACCAATTGTGACATCCAGCTAGAACAGTGTCATAGAAAGAATGGGGTTTTATAAATAAATAGTTGTGTAAGTCCTATTGATTCTACTCTTGCTGTGGCTGTCAATTGGATTTAACAGAAACACAAACTCTTCAGTCTCCCATGGATATATAAATCTGCCTTCTATTGAATCACACCACCGAGTGTGATGTGTGTTTCACTCTGTGTGTGTGTGTGCACGGGCGCTTGTACGTGCAGTCTCCCATGGATATATAAATCTGCCTTTTATCGAATCACACCACTGTGTGTGATGTGTGTTTCACTCTCTGTGTGTGTGTGTGCGCGCGTGCACGTTTATGTGATTCCTAGCCTCCTTGCCCAAGATCCTTTGAACACAAGATGCCAAAATCTGAACCTCAGCATCTATAGTTTCTGGGAGCTCAACCTTCTTTTTTACAATAGGTACATTTTGGGAAATGTGCATCTGGCTCTTCACATCTGGGTACAAGCATCTGTCTTGTATTTGCCATCTCTTCTAATATATCAAAGACCTGGATTCTAAAGCTGGGTGGCAGTGTGGGAAGTACCCTACCATCTGTGTGTTCGAATCTCAGTTTCAGAAGTGTTCCGATATTTGCATACTTGAATTTGATTATTTGGATGTCAAGAGGAAGCTTGCCCTAACCCAAAAAGGCTAACATTTCAACTCATTTCCCTAGCAAAACAACTGGGAAACCGGGCACTTACAGACTGAAACAGTGTGAATTACAGAACTGATGTTGCTGGGTAGCACAATGTGTCCTGGAAGAGATTCTATGCTGAGGCCAGAAGGCCCTGATGGGTACTGTGGCACTTCCATGGATGTTCCTGCATAAAAAGAAAGCAAGCCAACTCATTCAGCTGTCAGCAAGCACAAAACTAAGGTTGACCACTCATTTGCAAATTGATCACACTTAATTCCAACCAGGGTTTCATTTGCCCAGCCCCAAGCTCATTCCTGCTCTGTTGCACATTTGATTGCATACTACACTAGACCATTATAGCAGTTTAGCGCTATGGTCAAAATCCTGTTACTTACACCTGCCAGTGTAAATCAAGTGGCACAAACTTTGATGGTGAATTGCCACCCCTTAAGAGGTCAGCCTTTGCATTTATTGTTGTACTCTAGTTTCCTGACATGGTGCATGACAAGAAATGCAAGCGTTGGCATCTTCATGAGCAGCATGAGATTTACTGTATGCACTTTGATTTATGCCAATAGATTGGCATCTTCATGAGCAGCATGAGATTTATGCACTTTGATTTATGCCAATAGGCATAAATAATAAGATTCTGGGCCATCAGGTATTTTAACTATCCTGACTGCGTATATGTTTGTGATTTGCAGAACAGAATTTCAGCCAGTGGGTGCCATTGCAATGTCTCTGTGTTAAAATAATGCATCATTTAGGATTCCATTTAGGGGCATTGTATCCTGCCTCTCTTGAGAGCACCCTTTCAATTTGCAGCCCTTAAAAGAGATATGTTGTCTTTGTGGTCATAAGCAATAAACTCACATTTTACCCATTTCCAATTCACCTGGAGGAAAAAAAATGTGTACTAAAATCTCAGCAAACTTTGGTGTTTGGCAAGATATTGTGTCCAAAATAATGTGATGTGACATCTTCCGCCCCCCCACTGATTTTACTCGTTGGGGTGCCTCTATGTATCAACCAATGAAAATGAGGCTTTAAAAATGCCCCACAACAGAAGGAAGCAGAATTAGCTGGCCATTTTCAGTAAGCTTTCTTTCTGCATGCAGCGTACACCACTCATCTTTTATTTAGATCCACTCCATGGCTTTGGAACTCGTTTTAGTCTAGCCCTGCCTACGTCTTTACATGCCGCACGGTGTCTGCACAAAACTAGAAAAGACAGAGAGATTCCTCTAATCTTCCAGTTGTCGCCTGCACCAATTTTCTCTGTATCTTTAAGGTGCTTGAAGAAGAAAGACAGATCCCCTTCCTACACGGTTTTGTACCTCCTAGAAGCATCTCCTGAAGCAGGCTGTCAATTCTGGCCACTCCAAAGAGCTTGACAAACTGGACCTGTTCAATCATTTGCCAAGTGATGCTTTGAAGTGGGGGAAGGAGCAGGAGAATGTCACTGAACCTCCCTCGGGAGTCGTACTGCCGGTCATTGATGTAATCTTCAAGGTTCACCTGGACCTGGAAACGCATGTTTTTCACCTTTCCGGCTTCACTCAAGCCTTTGCAATCTGGCAGGAAAAAGAAGGTGGCTAAGGTCAGTAAATTTCAAAGTAACATAATGAAGAAGAACAACATTGCTTTGGGGCATGATAAATATACAGTGGTGCCTCGCCAGACAATGTTAATTCGTTCTGCGAAAAAATGCTGTCTTGCTAAAACATCGTCTTGCGAAACGCGGTTCCCCATTGGAATGCATTGAAATCCATTTAATGCGTTCCAATGGAAAAATCATCATCTTGCGATAATCGTCCATAGAAAACATCATCTAGTGAAATGCGATTCCCAATTGGAATGCATTGGAATCTATTTAATATGTTCTAATGGGGAAAAATCGTTGTCTGGCGAAAATTGTCCATAGGAAACCTTCGTCTTGCGAAGCGGAACAGCAATCACAAAAACTAATCATCTTGCGGATTAATCGTCCTGCGAGGCAATCGTCTTGTGAGGCACCACTGTACTACTGTCAAAAGTTACTTTGGAAGGGCTTTTTAAAGGCATTTTAGAAGGATTTGGGCAGGAATATATCATATTTGAGTCAGAATAGGCTGCTTTGAACAGTCAATAGTAAGAACATTTTTCAACACCTAGGGCCCATCAGGGATCACTGAAAATGTGAAAATTGTCAGAGAAGGAGCCATTTCTACTTTTCAAAGTTCTGTTTCCAGTTTGAAGCATTTTGCTTCCTTTTTCAATTTTATGGGCTTTGAGAGTATTTTGACAAAGTAGGGCTACCCGGATCCCATTTAAATGCAAAATAAATAATCCCAAAACATGGATTCTGGCCTCTGTCTCCTGCATCTGTCTTTTCAATCGACATCTGAACAAGGCAAGAGATCACAACCACAAAACTGACCCTAAAGGCTAGCCATGTCTGTAGGGTTTCACAAATGAAACAAGAGAACCTCCCACTCCATACCTGGGTCAAAGAATACAATGGCTTTAAGGCAGGCATATTCGTTCTCATCGATCTGGATTTCTCGCAAAGGTTTCACTAGTTCATCTAGGATCCTCGTAGCCACACGGGCAATTTCAAGCTCTGGGCATTGCATGGGGATAATGAAGTCATTTCCTGGAGGAGAAGAGAAATGAGAAGGTTTTAGGCTGAGTTTGTTGACCAGTGTCCAGACATTGCTCCAGGTTTGGTGTTTGTTTTAAATGGGCCAATTTTATCAGCATAACAGTGAGCAGACTTTTAAATTTGATGCCAACATTTTTGCCAACTGCTTGTGGAAAAGAAACACACAGTTCTGGTCATCCCATTTTATGGAACAGAAGTAGCAGAGCTGCAGAAAAGAGCAAACACAATAACAAAAATTTCCGGCCTCTTAGTTTATTAGGAATGCTTGGTAAAGGGTTTTTTTTTTTAAGGGAAGGTGCTATACACTCTGCTTACATGTTTTTAAGAGTGGCTTTTAATTCGGGGTTTTTTTTTTTTTTTAAGGGAAGGTGCTATACGTTCTGCTTACATGTTTTTTTAGAGTGCCTTTTAATTCAGCGTTATTTTAATATTGTAATGTGTTTCATTGTGCCTTAGTTCGATAACATCTTTTACCTCTACTTTTTAATTTCATGTGACTCTCCTTGAGATCCAGCATTTGAACCCCTGGCTCTAATGTAATTCGTGGCAAGACACTTAGTTATAAAACATGGTTATATAGTGGGGGAGAACCATGCATCTTCCAGATGTTTTGGACTCTTTTGCCCCAGCCAATGTGGCCAATGGCAAGGAACACTGGGAGTCATAACCTAAAACATCTGGAGAGCCAAATGTCCCTCCCCCCCAGGTTACATGAACACATGAAGGATGACTTTGTCAGCAGGAATATTTGATGACGTAAGCTCCATTTTTCAAAGGGCCCCGGCAAATGAATACCAGAAGAAAGAAAAGGGGTTATGGTCTTCAAACTTTGCTTGGGTTTTCCAAGAAACATCTGGCAGGAACATCCAGCATCTTGGAAAACAGGTTGCTGGACTAGAGGAGATTTTCTTCCCATCTCGCTGAGCACTTCTTAACTTTGTTGTTAAGATTGGATCTATAAATGGCTATAGTTTACTGCAGGGAGTTAAGTAATACTGTTTTGAGGAGTCTTTCCGGCTCTAATTCTATAATAGCAGCAAGAAAGGCAAATATTAACATGCTAATGGATTGACATAATGTATCTAAAATAGGACGGAAACACAGGGCGCTTGGTCTTCCACATAACAAAACTTCATGTTACTGTTTTTACCTAATAACAGAAAATCGGTGTATGGTATAGATCGCTTTGCAACTCCCAGAAGTAGGTGTTCTCCGGCATGAGCTCTTAGTAAGGCAACCTGTCAATCACCGGAGAGAAAAGGAGAAGAAAAGGATTTAACTATTTCAGGAGCGAAGGGAGCTGTATTCTGATGTATACCAGAGAATGTGGTTTGGATGAGTCTCATTTTCAGTGCTGGATCCAAAGCCTGGATCCAGGCCATGTGCAGCCTTACAGATGTTGTTGGACTGTAGCCCCCCTCAAATGTAGCAAATAGCCACTGGTAAGAAATGTCATGCTGTAACATTGGGTAGTATGCATTTGGCCCACTCTGGAAATGGGGTATACAAGACAAGGGTGCAATTGGGGAAATCAGGTGAGCTGCGCAGTTCTTCTCCATGCCTTCTCTCATTCCCTTACATGGCTATTTGGGAGCTCTAAGGCTTGTTTCTCCAAAGCAGTGCTCCTCAGTTGATCTGGCTTAGGGTCAGTTTGCTTACCAAGATCAAACGGGGGTTTACAACGCTACTCGGAAAACCAACCTTAAACCAAAATTCCTAGTACCAGATGAGGGGAAACTCAGGTTTACCAGGATTAAAGGAAGGTGTGAGGGGGTCGTGACGGGCACCCCTGGTGGGGCATCTGCCCTTGCCCCAGGCCCCCTAAAGGGCCCATGGGAAGTTGCAGACCTGAGTCTCATGCAGAGGCAGGACAGCAGCTAGCAGACGGTTGGTGGGGATAAAGGAGGGAGATGAAGAGCAAGAGGGGGAAATGGACGGAGGAATTGTGGGCAAAGCGGCTGGGGAGCTGGACCCCAAATTTAGCAAGTCAGGGGACATGGACTACATAGATGTAGAGAACCCCTGGGATGAGGTTCCGGTGGAGGTCTCCATCACCAAGGCAAGAGGGAATGGAGGAGGAGCACCCATCTTTAGACTTCCAGCTTTGCCTCCTTGCCCCACCGGTCTGTGAAAGCCTTGGCATCCAGCAGGGTCCCCAGTCCCCGTCCGAATCCAGAGAAGGTGCTGGAGATGCAGCAGCGGCATCTTCAGAAGGACCAGAGGAACACAGACACTAACAAGCAGCTGCCCACATAAGTTGACCTTCAAGAGCATTGGGTGGCTTGGAACTGTGTTAAAGCCATAGTGAGGAGGCAGAGACTGAGTTGCCAGGAGAATTAGTGATGGAAAGTTATTCCCTCAATGGGCTGTCAGGACAGGAAAAGACTGGTGCCCCTTCTTTCTTTGCTCCTGAACCCTTATGAAACCAAGTTTGAGCCCCTCTAGGAGTCTCACATTCATGGAGACAATGGCTGAGGAGTCCCTGCCCATTGCCCCTGAGCTAGGCAGGGGTAGCTGCTCTCGCACCATGAAAAGTTGATCTAGTCAGCCAAAATCATTACCTTCGAACTTCATTCAATATCAGCACAGCCACTGCTCTACAGAAGGAAAGCCTAGCTCTCAACGCATCCATGCGCTGGATGTGTGAAAGTCCACCTACGCAAACCGGGGGGGCCTTGTTCACCTGGTCATCCAGAGGAAGCTCACAGAAGGCCGGGATGTATTTGGCCCACTCAACCAGGACCAAGAGCTGCTGTTTCATGGATTCGGACACATCACTGATGGTTGCAATCTTCTTCATGGCAATGTCTGCGCTGTGCACAGGACGGAGAGCTGAATACTGCAAGATAAAAGGCCAGGACGTCGGCATCCTTCAGCTTCAAAGATTCACAGAATCATAGAATCATGTTGGAAGGGGCCCATAAGGCCATCAAGTCCAACCCCCTGCTCAGTGCTGGAATAAAAATCAAAGAGTATCTGACGGATGGTTGTCTAATTTTCTCTTGAGTGCCTCCAGTGTTGGAGCACTCACCACCTCTCGAGATAATTGGTTCCACTGTTGTACTGCTCTAACAGTTAGGAAGTTTTTCCTGATATTCAACTGAAATATGGCTTCCTGTAACTTGAGCCCATTGTTGTGTGCCTTGCAGTCAGAGATGATGAAGAACAGATCTTGACCCTCCTCTGTATGACAGCCTTTCAAATATCTGAAAAGTGTTATCATATCTCCCCTCTGTCTTCTTTTCTCAAGGCTAAACGTGCCCAATTTTTTCAGTCTTTCCTCATAGGGTTTGATTTCCAGCCCCCTGATCATCCTTGTTTCTCTCCTCTAATTTGTTGCAATTTGTCAGCATCCTTCTTGACGTGTGGTGTCCAAAAGTGGACACAAGACTCAAGGTGAGACCTAACCAGTGCTGAATAGAGGGGAACTAGCACCTTATAGGATTTGGAAACTATACTTCTGTTAATGAACCCTAAAATAGAATTTGACCTTTTTTTTGTAGCCAACATGGTTGGCTTATATTGAGGTTGGGGTCACCAGTTATGCTTGCTATGGATGATGGGAGTTGTAGTCATATTGGAAGGACAACAGGTTAGGGAAGGCTGCTTTAAACTAGGTAGCTGCTCCACTTCAATGTATTACATTTTCCCTTCTTCCCACATTTCAGCTCCTCTGATTTAGGTCTCTAGTTGTGGAGTGAGAGGTTGGGAGTTCAATTCCCCACTGTGTCTTCTTGACAGACACTAGACTAAAAAATCCATAGGGGCCCTTCTAGCTCTGCAGGTCTAAGATGATGGTGATTATATGATTTTATATATATAAATCACGCCATTTAGCTTTATTCACCATTATAATGCCCAAATGGGAAATTATGCTTCTTCCAGCAGGTGGCAATAGATCACAACTGTTTTATCAACAAATCTTACAGTTAGGAACCGTGATATATAGAAATTAAAAAAGGAAAACTCTAGCAAGAATTGATTTTAAAAAACACAGATGCTTAAGGAGTATTTGATAAACATACACACAGAGAGACATTTATTTAGAAGTGTTTCGCTATTTTGATCTCAGTCAGCCCCGTGGTTTAGGTCTCTGGCTGTGGAGCCAGAGGTTGGGAGTTCAATTCTTCACTGTGCCTCCTAGGAGAAAAGCTGATTTGGGTGGCCTTGGACAGGGGGGCCCCAGAAGAAGGGAATGGTAAGCCACGTCTGAGTATTTTCTCTCTGGAAAATCCATAAAAGAGTTGCCATAAGTCAGAATTGACTTGACAGCACATGAGTATTATTTTGTTATTATTAATAATAACAATAAGTACTTGGGAGCAAGTTGGTTCTGACTTATGATGATCCTTTCCAGTCTTCCTAGCTATAAAGTAAAGGTAAAGGTAAAGGTTCCCCTTGACATTTAATCCAGTCGTGTCTGACTCTAGGGTGCAGTGCTCATCCCAGTCTCCAAGCCGTAGAGCCAGCGTTTGTCCACAGACAATCCTTCGTGGTCACGCGGCCAGCGTGACAAGACACAGAACGCTGTTACCTTCCCACCGAGGTGGTACCTATTTATCTACTCACATTTACATGCTTTCGAACTGCTAGGTTGGCAGGAGCTGGGACAAGCGACGGGAGCTCACTCCGTTGCGTGGATTCGATCTTACGACTGCAGGTCTTCTGACCTTGCAGCCCAGAGGTTTCTGCGGTTTAACCCGCAGCGCCACCATGTCTCTTTAGCTGTAAAGTACTTGGATGTTATTTACCCATCCCTTCTTCTTAGGTGCCTTGAGACCATGCAGTTTGTCCAAAGTGACACAGGTTTCCCCTTCTCCTCTAAGGCACATTGGGGAATCTTTTTCCAAAGCTCTGCTTCACTAAACTAGAGTTAGAAAAGGTACCCAACAGGTGTTCGGTGGGATGGCCCCATTGTCTATGACAGGACTGATGATCTACACACATTTTAATCTCCATTCTGGCCTTGTTGTGGGACTGAATGGGTTCTGGTTGTCTGGATGGATGGCCTTTGCCAAGGCAGGGAGGAGGAGGAGATGACCACACTATTTCTGCTCAGTCAGTCCTAGGCTTTTGGCACGGTTGATGGTGACATTCCCTTGGAACGGTTCTTTGGGAGGCACAGGACATCCTGTGCTTCCAGGCCTACTTCCCAGCTCAGTTTCAAAAACGTGATGCCGGACAACTCTTCTCCATTCCCTTCAGCAGTTGGGCTGTGAGGAGGGCTGTGTGTGGATCCTTGGATTCCATTCAGAGGCTGAATCGAGCCAGATCCCAATTCAGTTCTGAGAGATCTAGATCTCATTCAATTCAGTCTACATCTCAAATCTGTCTGAAGCTGGATCATCAATACCTTCCCATTGACTTCAATGGGAAAGCCAAAATAGCTATACCCAGCTTTTTTCCCCCCACTGATGTAAGTGAAATGTGTAGATAGAAAACCTAGAGAGTACACCTGTACAATTTCAATCACCTAATTTCAGTTGTTTACATAATCAGTTTCTTTAAAAGTCACTGTTTTCAAGACGAAAACAACAGTACGGTTCTTAAAAGCACGTACATTCAGTCTCATACTCAAACTTGCCCATTCATGAAGCCATTCTCCTTTCTCTGCCTCTCTAGTATTGGCCTTTCCTTACTCAGGGCCTTATAATATTTCAGAACCTCTCACTGAAGAACTATGTCAAAGAAGAGCCAGTTTAAAACCAAGAAAAGAAAGTCCAAGCTGGATGGATTAATGTACTGCACCGGAAGACAACACAGTGAGCAGTGGGCAGGTAAGGATGCTGGATGAGAAGTGCGGCAGAGGGGAATAAATTTTCACTAGCTAAACAAGTCACAAAGACATAGGTAAAGGTAAAGGTTCCCCTTGACAATTTTTGTCCAGTCGTGTTCGACTCTAGGGGACGGTGCTCATCCCCGTTTCTAAGCCATAGAGCCAGTGTTTTGTCTGAAGACAATCTTCCATGGTCACGTGGCCAGTGCGACTTAGACACAGAATGCTGTTACCTTCCCACCGAAGTGGTCCCTATTTATCTACTTGCATTTGCATGCTTTCGAACCGCTAGGTTGGCGGGAGGTGGGACAAGCGACGGGAGCTCACTCCGACATGTGGATTCGATCTTACAGCTGAAGATCTACGGACCTTACAGCACACAGGCTTCTGCAGTTTAGCCCACAGCGCCACCACGTCCCAGAAGACACGTCCCACAAAGACATACACCCCCCAAAATCCCCATGTTTTGCCACTCAAAATTGGAAAGACAAAGTAAAGGAACAGGTAAAGCTACTGGAGTTACATTAAAGACTATTTGAGAGGAGGGAGCAGTCTGTAAGATTTCAGAAGGTGGGGCCCTGTGACATCCTTGTGGTATTACAGAATTAGGATGTTTGTGATGTCATTTTGCAATTGCCCTGTTAACCACTGCAAAACAACATACATAAGTGTGGTAATATGGGTGGGTGCTTGTGCAACAAGAAGGCTGGAAAGTCTCCATGCTGGTGCTTTACTCCCTGCTTTGCTCCAAATGACACGGTGGACTCCAGTACATACACTGGTCAGCTGTGTCCTGAGTCTCCTTCTGTCCTGGCTTTTTGACTTGGTGACACTACACAAGTGGAATGCACATGGAAAGTTGAGCCGGTGGACTCTGCTTTGAGGCACCAGCTGGGAATGGGTGGCAAGAGGTCCCAGTGGGTCTCTAAGCTTTAAAGCCCCAGATTTTCTTCTCCCTCAGTACCAGTCACCTGGAGATTTGTTTCCCCAGCTGTGGAGCCAATGAAACAATTAGCAGATGCTTCAACCAGCACCCTGAGACCTGGCAAAATTCCTTACCACTCTTCCAATTGTCAGAGGTTGTTCAGACAAGACAATTGTGCTCATCTACCTGCTGTGCCATTGCTTCTGCTTGGGTCAGAACAGTGATGGAGAGGGCCCCGTTGTCCTCATAGCTGCTTCGCCGGATACTTATCCTGTCACGCTCATTCTGCACAGCTTACAAGAGAGAGAGAGGGGAAAAAAAACCAGCAGCACATCAGATAAATGCTTGGCTTGTATCGTGTTGTAGTGGAATTAGGACTGATGGGGATGAAATGAGGTGACCTTTTTTAATCAAATGGGTTAGGAAGGCCTGCACATGCTAGATTTTATGCACATAGGCCCTGCTCAGGACCTTAATCCAAGACAGACAGAGCCTCAGTTCACCTCTCCAGTGTAAGTGGCCTTGGCAGCAGTGTGTGTGTGTGTGAATGGGCTCATTGAGATTCCTCATGGAGTTTGTGCAGCCAATCGTACAAAAACTCAGTGGAAACAAGAGTTTACACATTGCTCCATTTGTGCACATGGTACAGGGAGGAAGGAAGAGAGAACCTTGACCCAGGTTCATGCTGAGTCATATGCTTAAATCTCTGTAGCTACACAGAAAAGAAGATTACCTTCTGTGCTAGAGTTGAGTTTTGGCATGTTTGATCTATTTTGATTGCAGAGTGAGAAGCAAACATATCCCTTATTTTTCCTGATGCAAACAAGCAGAGTGGGAAATTGAATACAAAGAGAAGCCCTGGAAATTTCCTGGAGCAAACCCTGCCTTATTCAAACTTTGGTGAGCCTTCTGCAATGAAGTCCTGGAAAACCTTGGAATGCCTTCCATGTCCTAAAGCTTGCACAGTGCAATGGCATCCAACCAATTGGCCTAATTCTGCGCCCAACAATGTCTCTTTCTGGCACCATTACAGAGGGCAAGGGGGTGGGATGGGGGCAGGAATTTGAGACCACAGCAGGTTGAGAGGGAGAATCAATATCGATTGCAGCACAGTTACTCCCACGTCAAAGGCAGCAAATCAGTAACTTTCCAAAACTTTCCCTGGAAGGAGACACTTTGGGGGGAAATGGTGAAGGTTTGGTTGCAGTTTAATATTTAGGGTGCTCGGTTGATGAGTTGAAAAATCCTGCACTCCTTGTTGTTGCAGGCCATCATGTCCCCTCCAAATTTGGGTGACTTTACAAATGAGTAACCTCCAAAACGTCCTGTCCTTGATGGCCCTGTTCATCTCTTGCAAACTCAAAGTTGTGGTTAGGACATCTCACATTTGGTCTTCCTCTTTTCCCCCTGCCTTCATCTTTTCCTGACATCATTGTCCCCTCGGCGAGTCTTGACTTCTCATGGACTGCTCAAGGTACAACAGCCTCAGTTTCATCTCCCACCCACCCACCCAAGGGAATGTTCAGGCTTGATTTGATCTAGGACCCCATACTTAATGCCCTCCATATAGGCTGGAGAGAAACTTCCACCAGTTTTGGTTAGACCAAAGACACTATTATTTTCAATAAAAGCAATCTCTGATTCAGTGTTGCCATCTGAATCTGCTGATGTGGAAGTCAGCGTGACTCATAAAGACTCACCCATTCCCAATGGACAGCTAACAATTCCAAGTATCTATACAACACAGCACCTGGGACTCTGAAGCTGGCATTGGTTGGGTTGTAAATCCCAAAGTCCCTTACCTTCTTTTTTCATTCCGGCTCGGAAACATTTCTTCAGCCGGCAGTATCGACACTGGTTCCTCTTGTCCTTGTCTATCACACATTGTCGGCTGAACCTGTAGAAGAAGAGAGAATTACTGTGCAACTTGCCCACGGTCACACAGGCTGCCTCTTCTGAGATGCACAATGGTGAATCAAACTCTCAACCTCCGTTCCAGGAAAATCGCCGTTAAGCGAAAACATCGTAAAACGAAATTAAAAACCCCATTGAAATGCATTGAAACCCGTTCAATGTGTTCCAATGGGGTAAAAACTCACCGTCCAGCGAAGATCCTCCATACGGCGGCCATTTTCGCTGCCTGTATAGCGAGGAATCTGTCCCTAAACACAGCAGGGAGCCATTTTAAGCACCTGATGGCCATTTTGAAACCGCCGATCAGCTGTTAAAAAACCATCGTTTTGCGAAGAATCAGTTCCCGAAGCAGGGAACCAATCATTGCAAAGTGAAAAAACCCTATTTAGACCATTGTTTTGCGATCACAATTGCGATCGCAAAAAGATTGTCGTACAGCGATTTTGTCTTAATGCGCGGCAATCATTAAGCAAGGCGCCACTGTACTAGATATATATTACTATATATATATATATTGCCTTGGGCAACTACGTTAAGCGAGGCACCACTGTACTAGATATCTATATTATTATATATATATTGCCTTGGGCAACTGCACAGTCCTAGGATACACCCAGAAGGGATCAGTAAACCACTTCTGTGTATTCTATCTAGGAAAAAAAAGGATCACCATAAATCAGAGCTGACTTGATGGCACATGATAATAATAATGGTTAAGCCAGAGCAAAGGCTGCAGATGAAAGAGGCCATTACCACCACACTGGTGGTCACTGTGGATGCTTAAGACCTCTGCCTGGGAAATCTGTGAGATTTCCTAGCATTCCCTTCCAAACCATAGAGTTACCTGCACGAATAGACATGATTCTTGCGGACACTCCTTCTGAAGAACCCTTTGCAGCCATCACAGCTGGAAGCCCCATAATGCTTCCCAGTTGCTCGATCGCCACAGATGGCACATAATGAATGGACCCCATTCAGGAGCAAAGTGCTGTTGCCCAACTCAGAAGCGATGGCATCTGGAAAGAGAAAAATGCAGTAATCCAGGTGTTGATAAGGTCAAGGCCTGTCTGGAAAGACAATGGGAAATGTTTCATGGGTTTGGGAGTGGAGAGTTGGGTTGTAAATCCCAGTTCCACAGTCAGCTTGACTAATGGCCATGCTAGCTGTGGATTCTGGGATTTATAGTCCAAAAATAGGTCCAGTCCTTGTAAACTGATGGAACAAGCTAATTAGCCATCTAAGCCAAAGCAGGCTAAGTAAAGTCTTCCATTTTGTTTTGATTTGATTTGAAAGCAGAATTCACATGGCCTCTCTCGCGCTCTCCCTCTCCCTTTCTCTCTCTCTCTCTCTCTCTCTCTCTCTGTGTCTCTGTGTGTGTCTGTTTGTGTGTGTCTGTGTGTCTGTGTGTCTGTAAAATTCAGAAGGGTTGCCCATTTACTTCTTTCTAGGGACACTCGTCCAGCTTGGCCAAGACGACACAGGCTTGTTCGTCTCCTACTGGGAATAGAGAGGAATTGAACTCCTAACCCTTGGCCTGGTTCGACCAGCCCTCTGACGGGACACATCCATAGATGTCCAGGTGTGGTCTTTTTGGGGCCAATTACACCTGCTCTGCACAGTGGCGAGAGAAAGCCAGGTCTACTGGTTGCAAATAGAAACAACATCTGCTGAATATCTGTGAAGATTCTCAGTCATCCAGGTGATGTTATCTGAAATCTCTCAGTCGTCCAGGTGATGTTATCTGGAATTTGAGTCATGCCAACTGAACTTCTTTCTTATTAGGTTGAAACATTTCGCTACTCATCCAAGGAGTACTTGGATGAGTAATGAAACATTTCGACCTAATAAGAAAGAAGTCCAGTTGCCATGACTCAACTTCCAGATAACATCTGCTGAAGGGTTCCTTCTTCTCCTCTGGAGCCTGGTCTACAGAGGTGCAGATACACCTTCCCTCCACCACCTCACTAAGGCCTGGTATTACAGGGATTTGTCCTCACTTCCCCCTACCTGGTCTACGTCTGTCTTTTCCTAAATTGATCTATCAGGTTGCTGAAGCTGTCTTGGAAATCTGGTACAGCATGCCTTTGCCATGGTCCCAGGAGGTGAAGCCCTGGTTGCTCCACCATGGCTATGACACTGGATGTGAGCAATCTAGCTTGCTCCCCATCTCTGGTGTTGTTTCCCATCCTGTGTGTGGAAGGTGATGCGTTGGAAGGAGAGCTCCCTAACGATGGAAGCAGCCCACATGAGCCGGGAGTCCGATTTCCCAGCATTATGAAGAGGCTTTATAGATAACAGAGGCTGTCCCTTGTCAGACTCACTGCCTTGCTCAAGGAAGCATAAGAAGTGATCAAGAGAGAGCAGAGCTAGTATGCTCCCCTCTATGGATGAGCATTCTTAACATCAGTGCTGTATGTAACACCCTCTATGGATGAGCATTCCACCCAGTTTTGAATGCCATAATGTGACACCTTGTACACCAGTATACAACAGTGAGAGCTTCACTGTTGATGTCCACCCAACAGAGAGAAAGCTGCCCATACTCAGACTGCTGAGGAACACCTTAGTTTTCATCTTCAAAATTGAATTATTCTTTGGGGGAAATGTTATGGTATCAAGAATATAGAGGAACTGGTGAAAATGGTAGCTCTAAGTCAATTTCCTGTTTCTCTTTGCATCCCATCAACTCATTCTATTACTGAATCTTTGTTATGATGTATAATCCCCTGGCAACATCAGTCAATGCTGCTTGAGTGATGGCACCAGGCCATGGAATATACCCAATATGGTGACCTACCTAGAATTTGGAAAAGTTATTGTTTGGGACTACAATACCCAGAATCTCCCAGCCAGCAAGACCAAAAGCAATAAGATTTCCTGGCTCTCTGGACAAGCCTTCGTCATCTGCTATGTAAATTCCAAAATAATTCCTGTTGGTTTCTTGGACCATTTCTTTACAATAAGCATTCATTGTTTAACTTGGTCATACCGGTGACCACCCATGGGTTAGACCGCAGCTGCGACCTTGAATGACATTTCCTCTAAGGGTCGCGCTGAACTTTTGAGATGGATGAAATACTAGGATAAGCAAAGGAACATTGTCATAAGGTCTATTTACAAGCCAGATGTCCGAGCAATTCCAATTAATGCACTCTCGCAGCCAAGTAGAAAAGTAATAAAAAAAGAGCAACTTGGAGGAAAATATGATTTGAGGTAGGTGCAAATGGTTACGGAGGACAGGAAGACAAGAGCAGCTAAAACTGTACCCAAAGAAAAATAAATACAGGAATATGACTTGAGAAGGAATACTTCTCAAGTTTGAAAGCCTCCGTTTGGAAAGTAAAGGAGAAATAAAAACCACTGCTTTAGTGTAGTCCTGTTCACAACAATATACCTTGCAACTGCTTTGGACTACAACTCCCATTGGCCTTGCTAGCTCAAAATTTGGGCATTTTCGTCCAAAACAATAACTTCCCTAAGTTCTGAGTGTGTTACCATACTGAGTATACTGGGTGTGATTCAGTCTGTTTCTGATTATTCGTTAGAATACCAAAATCCAATGGTAGGAAAGATATGTTTATTCATTTATTGCAAAAAAAGATTACCAATCTGCATATAGATCTAGAAAAGACAGGAGGGAAAAACAGCTGGGCTATTGCAGTGGCTGTTGCCTCCCATCACTGGTTCAGACCACTTGTTGAATGAATGCATCACTGCTCTTTCTACGGGTTGTTCCTAGTGAGCATTCTTTATATTCCTAGTCACCGCAGCGAACCATGTTTTGATTTCCGCCAAGAGAGTATGCTTCAACTGGAATGAGTGTTTCCCAGTGAACAGACGTGGTACATGTGTTACACAAAATGAGATCCCATAGCTTTCATTCTGCAGTGTGCTTTCGTTTCAGAGGTAACATAGTTTCCCAGTGCTCGAACTGTGATATGTTGCATCTGGGAAGAAATTAAATGAGTTTGTTTCTTCAGCCAATGACCTGGAGCTGGCTGTGGGGAATACGTCTGTGTCAATGTCACAGACACCCCGCTGACAGAGTGTTGGTGATCTCTATCATGATAAGAGATGCCGTTCCCTCAAACGCCCCGCCACGTCAACACCATCTCTTTTTTTATCAATTTAAAACACTGCTATTTAATGAGATTTGTCTTGCACTTTCCAGCTTAACTGGCTAAGTACTTGCACAGACCTTTAGAGGGAAGGCAGAAAGCAAAGCTGACAAAATTAGCCCAGTTCCTTCCACCAATTTTGTGATCCTTGCCTTAATTTTGTTCAGACATAAATTTCTAATAAGATTCTTTGGTATTCTTACTAACAGAGGCCTAGCGCAGATCTTGGGACAGTAATCATATTGAAAGCAATTAAGAAGAAGGAAGGTAGAAAAATTATTTAAGATAGTGCACAGGAAAGGTTCTTGAACTTGGTTGCAGGAGGCCCTAGCGTGGGCTTCCACGTCTACAAGTTTGCCTCCGTAACAAAAATGAAGCAAAAAGAAGAAATGGGGAATGATCCTTAGAGAGGGAAAGGGGAAGGAAGCCTAAGATTACCACTCTCCATGTAGATCTAAAAGAGTCAAGAGGGAGAAACAGCTGGGCTAAACTTCTGCCTGTTGCCTCCCACCACTGCTCCAGACCATTTATTCCATGCATCACTACTCTCTTTTCCAGCCTGTGGGTTATTCTCAGAGCCTGGAACTGTCAGCAGTAGCACCAATACATGAACCTTTCACTGGTACATGTCAATGTATTGATCTTTAAGTCTCTGTAATTTAATTCATTGGTTTGCCAATCATAAAAACACAAATTTTCTCTTAAGAATTGCTTGCAATTATCATGATGACTTAGAAAAGCAAGAAATGATAAAATATTGCCATTTGTCATTTGGATTAACAAATTGTTAAGGCACTGCTGGAAAAAAATACTGAGAGTAGAAAATGAATTTTTACTGAGTTATTTCCAAACTCTAGTCATTCTTCCCTCTCCTGTCCCATTTCTCAATTACAACAGTGAAGTTTTAATTTATCCCTTGCCCCAGAGGGACAAAGAACTTGTGAATACTTGCAGAAGTGGGCAGAACACAGATCATCTGGATCTACTGTTAGATTGTGGAGTGATCTGTAGATTTCCTATGGTTTCTAAGCCCCAATTATTTAACAATAGCAAGCATCACAATAACATAAATGCTGCCTATTGTCGTGCAGTGAAAATGATGAAACTTCAGGGTAGCTCGGGAGCCATACATATATTGTTTGGAGGAAATGTGGGCTGTGTTCAGTTCTGATACTCAAAACTGAGTATTCAGGATTTGAGCAAATCACAAATTTGAAACCAAATTGGCCTGATTGAGATCTTTTTATGCAAAGCTTACAGTATATGAAAGCTAAGGGAACAGATTCCATTGGCAGTGAAGCAAAGCAAATTTACAAATCATTCCGATCCAAGATACAAAATAGACCAGGCCTAAATCACTCTAGTCTACTAGGATTTTTCCCATGCCCAAGCAAACCTAAGGTGTCTATTGCAGAAAGCTTGGTGTCTAATATTCAGAATGTTTACTACCAAATTTGCTATCCAAATTCCTTGTACCTGTGTGCAAAAAATAAAAAGGGTTATAAACATTTGGGTTCCCAGTTCATTCGCTTTGCAAAATATACAAATCCATTCCGATCCAAGACAGAAGTAAAACTGAAGAGGGCATCAGTCCCTCCAGTCTGAATCACGGCACACTCCACAGTCCTAAGCTGCACGACAGACTAAGGAGAAATGTGCACAGCCCTATTCAAAACTGATTACAAATTCTTGAGCTCAGGAGGTTTCACTAGTCTTCGGGTGATTGATGGACCTCAAGGCATTAGTTTTTTTAAAAAAATATATAATATCCCCTTAGTCTGATACCTGCCCAGCCCCACTCTATAAATGCTAAAGAAGAGTATGGAGTTATATCTTTCTTTTTTTCCCCAAGATCAGCTTGAAAATCAACAAAGATGTGAACTCCTTTCCCATTCAAGTAAACAACTTTCTTAACTTTCCCTAAGCACCAAAAAGAGAGAGAGAGAGAGGATTGTTCCTTGAGAGAGAGAGAGAGAGAGAGAGGATTGTTCTTCCACGGCAAGGTATCATCACATTCTTGAATGTACCTCCTACTTTTGGATATGTTTGCTAATTGGAAATGTCCCGGCTTTCACTCAAATGTTTTAAAAGCTGTTTCAACAATTCTTTTTTTTTCCAAGAGGGTGCTTGCTTAAGACAAACAAGCTAATTTCAAAACATCTAGTTCCTAAACAGGCTGGTTCACTTATTAACAAGTTAGCAAACAGGACAATGCCAGGTGAGATAGCCTTCACCTTTCCAAAAAACCTAGCGTTACTACAACATGAACTTTGTTGGGATACAAGCTTATTTCAAAATCACAGTGAGTCTGTGGGCAGTTCATTCAACAGAGAGAATTATATTCCCCGTCTATGAAAGTTGAAAACTCAAAGTGTTATAGTCAGATCAATCAAGTCACCTTAAACCATAGATGAAAATCAAGCTTTCATTCATTCATTCAATGAAGTTCAATGAATGGTTGCTGATTTACTACAACCTTAGAATATTCCTTCCTTCCTTCCTTCCTTCCTTCCTTCCTTCCTTAAAAAGAACCCTATGAGAAACTAGAGAGGTACCATGGATAGAATGTCAGATCAGGACTTAACAACGTAAGTCATAAATGTCACAATCAAGTCAACCTTTGCTATGGCTCTTGTGACTTTGTGCAAGAAGGCAACCTTTTTCACATTTTTCACTACAGCTCATTTCCCCCCAAAATGTGCAAAAATCCATCAAGCACAAGCAAGAATCTCTCCAAGACTAGTATTAAAACAATTGCCATTTTTTCTCCAAGGAAATAATTCTTGGGTTTCCTCCCCTATTGCTTGAGAAGGAGTTACATTTTTAGCTGTAAGGATAAGAGAAATGTTCCTCTAAAAGAAACATCAGTTTCGAGTTTCTTGCCTACAACCTATTTTCGGTTTCATATTTGCAAAATTGTGCCTCTGTCTGATTCTAAAGACAAGATAAAGTTCAATAGCATTTTAAGGGCTAAATGGTGGTAATAGAAGGGAATAATGATAAACATTGTGGCCAAATGACCATGGAATGGAAAAGATGCAGTTAGTTTCAATTCTGCATGAAGTTTAAATGTACGTATACAACAGAAGCATCAGATAGTTCACAACAAAGAGGAACAGTGAAACCCTAGCCCCCACCCCCAAGAAATTAGTTTGATGGAAAAATAATTCAGAACAGAATAGAACATATAAAGCATCTATTTGGTGAGATTTCCTCCCTGCTTTCATAAATGCTTTCTGGCCACTGTCTTGCATTGACTTTCATTTCTGTATAGCATATTATAAACACAAGGAGATCCAGGATATTGTTTTGATAAATGCATCGCAAACATTGCGCTCAGATACTTCCAGGCTTAAGAAACAATAGTTATCCTTATCAATGCTATTAAATATTTGGCTGCACTGAGAGTCCCTACAAAGCACGGATGTCGGGGCAAATATAGCCATTCCTAGAATTTCATGTTACGGTTTTCACCATAACACTACATGCCTCTCAATTCAGGTCATGTATTGACTATGAAATGCTAAGCTGTATTATAAGCGCCATCACCCCCTAACTCTCCGACTCCAAACAGTTTCAAGAGTTCACAGGTGCCGAAGTGACGCCTTCCACCCTTCGACCCCACACTTCCTTGTCCACCCAAGAGGGCAACTTTTGGACCAAGGTAACAGAGGCCGACGTGCGTCTCGATAGAAATATCTCCTCACCTGATGAGTTTGTGGGCAGCACCCGCAAGCTGTCAAACTCCAACATGGTGTACGAGGAGTCAAGGGACTCACTGTAGTCTGGCATTTCCATGTCCATCAAGCTTTGAGAAAGCCTCATTATTACTGTCAACAGAGAGCAGAAAGGCCCCCCGCGACCCTGCTGTCAATCACAGCTAGAGTTTCCAGCAGAATTGGTTTGACGGCTACTCCAGGCGTTCGGCGTGACAAATCATTACCTAGCTTCCCACCAACACGCCCTCCCAACACGATCCGAAGGTTGGAAGGTAGAAATGACCTAGTCTTTATTGCTCACTCGCTCTCTTTCCTGATGGGTCTATGCCCTGGATGGTGATTATACAATGAAAGATAAGGCCTGGTCTAAACCAACTAAGATTGCATCCTCGTTCAATAGCATGTGGTTTATGGCAGTCGTTGTGCAAACATTTTTGAAAAGCGCAGGCTGGGAGAGATGGTCCGAGGCAGCTTTTTTCTTCACAAGGGTGGTTTGCTTCTTCATCTATGGAGAAGAAATAATAATAATGCCACCGGTACCACCATGCTGTGGTTGACAAGGACATTTGTGGTCAAGCAGGGGAAATTACATGAGAGCAACACACTTGCAAAGAGTGACTGAAGCTGTGTGCAAAATCTGAGAGATGCAAAGGCCTTTACTGAATGTATGATCCAAAATGAGACAGAGAAAACAAGGAAGGTGGTGCTGAATTGATTTATGTTTGGGAAACTTAAAGCTGGATCAAGTCTAGATTCCGAATAAATCCACTGAGTCCCAGTGGGTCTGGGCTAAGTCCATCTAATTTTGGACCTAAACCAGAACTTATATCCTACTGAAAATTCTGTTCTCTATGTCAACACGTTGCTCACTTCCACAAGCGTTTTTGTGATGCCTCTGCAGAAACCATTACTGATCCTTGTTTGATCTTCTAATAAACATGGTAGAAACTGCAGGCTTCCTTACCGGTTTAAAACCAATCTTCACATGTGCTCATGTGTGCTACCAACATGCGCATTAATGGAAGAAGAAGACTAGAATTCAAGCAGTGGGGTCAATAGAGTAGACCCACTGAATCCATTGTGGAATGGTAAGTCAATTCCTTTGTCATTCTGTTCATTCGATGCATCTACTCTAGTTGGGACTAGCCTTTCGATTTAGTCTCAAGAGGCAAGGGTGTTACGTTGGTGTTATTGAACAAATGTTGCCAGTGACCAGTTTTGAAATTACTTGGAGAGTATGTGTGGAATTTTTTTTATATGAAACTCACAACAATTATACCTGAGCCAGTTTGAAAGTAAGGAGACCTGTACATCAATTTGTGGATGTCTGACCAAAATTACAGTGATGGAAAAATTGAATGAGTTAAGTGGTTGTTTCACCTCTCTGCTGTACAGTAATGTGTGAGCGTGCTGTCAAAATTACTGTGATGGACAAACTGAATGATTTAAGTTGTTATTTCAACTCTGTGTTTTGAAGTAGAGGAGTGTTTCCAGAGAGAAAGATCTTGACATAGCTAAGGAGAGGCCACCTCCAGAAGGATGGTTTAGGGCCAAAGGAAAAGGATTGCCAACAGCTTTCTTTGGAAATAGTCTGAACTCTTGTTCAACCCCATTAATAGGGAGGCCCCGTTTAACCTAATAAAGCCTTTAACAAAATAAATAATGGAATGAGCCAAAGCCGGCCTTTGAAAAGTTTGAGATCATCTCGTTTTTCTTTCTTGTGACCTCCCTTTAGTCCTCTAACTGGATTCCCTTTGGCTGGAGGTTCCTACGCTCAGCCTCAGAAGAGTCCCTCTCTCAGACCTACAAATAACTGAGATGGGGAACGTGTCAGACAATGGGAATAGCTCTCCATATTACTCATTTTCGCTTGTGGACTGTGAGAGCACACCAGACTGTCTGTAACTGCTCTGCTCCCAGGGACCATGAAAATGGAAAGAAAGACAACCCCCCCCCCAAATCTAGCTTTGCATAAGAATACTTGACTGACTTTTATGGGTGGTGTGTAAGATATAACATAATTAAGTTGTGCAATAATTTCTTTGAAAAGAATAAGCAAAGCACAAATGACTGCTTGGAAAGATAAGAGTTTATGTTTTTTATCCTTGGACTATGTACCAAAGGCTTCCAACATCAGCTCAATTAGCTGTTAATTAGTAGTTCTGATTTTGCTCACCGCTCTCGTCATGAGTCTGACTGAACTTGGATACTACCAACTAGGAAATCTGTGTTTTTAAAAGAGCTTTTGAGAAGGGAGCTCTACTCCATGAAGCAGCCACTTACCACCCAAAAGGAAGATGTTCTTCAACAAAAAAGAAAGACGATGAAAGGCACTCATTTGCATGAAATGGTATATGCTGATTTATATGTACAGGCATAGAATTAATAATAATCTTAGAACTGCAGAGTTGGAGGGAGCCCTATAGATCATCAAGTCCCTGTCAAGGAGGCACAGCAGAGAATCAAACTCCCAACATCTGGTTTATTATAAATTATGTTTGCATTTTAAACAGAACTTGATTGCCTCTCACTGACAGGTGACCTATGTGCCTGCTGATTTGGATGTCCAGCTAAGCAGAAAGGTAGCTTTGAGGCTGCTGATTTCTTTCAATGGGGGACTTAGAATGGACAGCCATTAAACAGAAAGTTGAAACATCCGTTGAAATGAAGGACTGTCTTCCTGAAAGGAGGATGGCCATGCTACTAGGACACAAGTCCCAGAATAAGTCTACTGCTTTCTGTTCAGTACCACATTTTGGGTGTTCTGTTGACCCCATGACTCCTCGGTTGTTCTTTTAGACTGGATATGACTTAAATGAGATGGTTGGACAATGTCAACCATCATGAATTTGACCCAACTCCAGGAGGCAGTGGAAGACAGGAGGGCCTGGCGTGCTCTGGTCCATGGGGTCACGAAAAGTTAGACATAACTTATCAACTAAACAGCAACAACATGACTTAGATTTTGTCCAGGAATGAAACATTCACAATTCAAGATGATATAAATGTTTCCATACTCAGAGCAGCCAACGGAAAAGTTGTTCTTCCTCAGGAATGCTGGGAGCATATAGGCAAGCATAACAGAAGCATTCCAAGATGTAAACATATAAAGGACGTTGGACACTTTAAAAACCATCATTGTGGCTTCTTTCAAGGCCATAAAAGTTTATTGACTAAATCTTAGCATGATGTTAATCAATACAAGGGTGGGGGCTCAGGATCTTCAAAGAGGGAAGCCCACCCTAAACATCACTTTTCAAAACTTTGCCCTGGCATGCATCCCATGCTTAATGGTCAGCCAAGGCCTAACCTACACATTACAGCCAGACATTTGGAGGTCATCATATGTTATCTCTACGGGACGTGGTGGTGCTGCGGGCTAAACCGCAGAAGCCTGTGCTGCAGGGTCAGAAGACCAGCAGTTGTAAGATCGAATCCATGCAACAGAGTGAGCTCCCGTCGCTTTGTCCCAGCTCCTTGCCAACCTAGCAGTTCAAAAGCATGTAAATGCAAGTAGATAAATAGGTACCATCTCGGTGGGAAGGTAAAACAGTGTTCCCTAGTCACGCTGGCCACGTGACAATGGAGACTGTCTTCGGACAGGCGCTGGCTCTATGACTTGAAAAGCGGGATGAGCGCCACCCCCTAGAGTCGGACACAACTGGACTAAAAATATCAAGGGGAACCTTTACCTTTATATGTTATCTCTACACAAACATCTAGTTTTCAAACATGTGATGTGGGGATGGGGTAATCCTCCGTTAGAGGGGACAGTGCTCCATCTGAAGGGGGAGAATCATCTTCTTTTTGTAGATGTCCTTCCTTAGAGTAACTGTCTGGTCCAAGTCGGATTTAAAGGTCATGAATTTGTAAGAAGGAGATCAAGGCTTGAGCACTTGGCTGAAAACAATGAATGACATCGAACAGGGAGAAGTGCAAGGTTCTACACGTGGTGGGGGCGGATCAAGATGGGGGATACTTGGCTCATTAATACTACAAGTGAGACGGCTCTTGGAATTGTTCTAGATCACAAGCTGAATGTGAGCCAACAGTGCCATGCAGCCGTAAAAAAGGCAGGTGATGCATCTGTTAAAAAAAGAGAGAAAAGATCAAATCTACAATGCCATAGAAGCACCCGTTCTTTGTTACTACAACTTTGTACTTTGGCTTTTTCAGCTCTGCATTGCAATTCATGCATACCCATAGTTTGGGAGGCTACACATCATGTGTTAGCATACGGTGGCCTCCTTCAAACTCAACTTTACTTCTGTCTGTAACTCAGTTTCCAGAACCCCAGTACCACAGGATTTCTGGACGTTTAAGATTCCCAAATTTTAAACGTAAGTAAGTAGTAAAATTCCCTTACTACTTTGGATGAATAAGATAAAGGCATAAAACCTGCAGGGGAAAACTCTTGAAAGTGCCTTAAAATGAACTTTAAAAGCAACTTTTGAAAGTAACTTCTGCTGGACCAGATAGGCAGGGTACAAATTAATTCAATCAATCAATCAATCAATCAATCAATCAATCAATCAATCAATCAATCAGTCAATCAGTCAATCACAGTATTTTTTGTGTTACTTGTTGCATCTAAAATGTGATCATACAACAAATTAATGTTTGTTATAACTCCAGTAGGACCGCAGTATCAGCGGAGGGAATCAAGCCCCATTGCAGATCCTGAAAACTACAGGTATGCAAACACTATATATAGCATAGTCTCTTGTTCCCCCTCATGGTCACTTCTGGTAATACACCTTGGAAACACGTATTCCTAGGGGAGTTTTATTTAATATTTTCAGGCAGCAGTTAACTGAAACTGTGGGTATTGATCTTGCAGATATAGCAGTCCCACTGTACTGCAAACTAATGTAACTACTATTGTTACATAACTCATTATCCAACTAGTAACAAGGTACAAAGTAATTACATTCCTCGCACCCAGTTCTTTCAAAGATCTGGTTGTCATGGCCATGCTGGCTGGGAACTAAGAACTCTCTGAAAATCTCTGTTTCAGATAGTGATCGCCACATGGAAATGATAGGATCCAAAAAAGGTTAGTGAATCATGCTCTCCGCCTTTTGTGGATGCCGTAGAGAGTCTCTCGTCCCTGTTCACAGCACTTTATATTCTGCAGATGATGGCTGGAAGAAGAAAATCAGCCTGACCCCCTAATCAAGGAGTTTGCCGTTCAATAAAAGGAATCACATAAATACAGAAGCCCATAAAGATATCTCTGGGGAAAACATATAATTAGAAACAGCGTGCTAGGGTGGTAATTACTGGTGTGAAATCAA